TCTGTATGTGGTTTCGTCAATAAAGAACGACATAAGTGTGTGCGAATAGATTCATGTTGAGGTGCTTTTTATAATTAGAAAATCTACCAAAATGAATAGCTTCAAAGTGTAAATTCCCAAATATTTGCGTGGATATCTCACTAAATACACAGACATATATGTTTAAATTGAAAGTTGTATTAAGCAGACAATTTGGACATACTAACAGTTTTTCTCTGATATTGAGCGTATTTTGTACATGTAAATCAATGGTATCTTATAGTCATTTTAAGTAGAAGGGACACAACTCGTTCGACCTTTGGATTGATACATAATTATTGTTATTTTCATTATGATTGGTTATATTGTGTAAGGTAAACAAGTATGGGATACTATGATATGTATTAAAGGATTCCGTTTGGAATCTTTCCAGTAGGATTTTTTTTAATTTTAACAAGTCTTCGGCGACGCAACTAACAAAGCATGCTCACCTGTATCACCTGGCTGTAACTAGTGTATCAATGTGTTATATATGGTGCATGGAAACATGGAGAGATCCGAGGTGAAAAATAATGGGAAACACAAATAGAACGTAACAATGTGTAACATGATATGCTCAGACTACGTGTGTGTGTTAATGGTCACTGGCAATGCTAGTTTGAAAATCTATATTTCAACATAATTTACACCTGGTAACACATGTTGATTTTATGGCCACTGTTATAGCTACCTGAGTTCGAATACTTCTGTTTTCTACGGTCGCGTTCATGTAATTTCCAGCTGCAGAATTATAATATGCTACGTCATTTATATGAGCCTAAAACGACAATATTTAAGCATACTTCAGTGAAAGATTGACTAGCTCAACAATAGATAAGGGATTTTGTATACATTAATGGCCTAATGAATGAAATGACAGAATTAGGGGTAGCCTCGTACGTGAAGACAATGTATTTGCAACAGTCGGTAACCGGTATCCCTAACCTTTGTATTAGTCACAGCAATATAGTATGCCATCTAACAAAATCCATTGGAAATCTTCACGACTTTAAAAAAAAATAAAAAAATAAAAAAAAAAAAATATTTCAAATAATGTCCCTTTCGCGACAAGAGAATAAATAAGAACCTTCATTTGGGTTAAATCTACCTTCCACTTAGAGAATCGTATATTTTTACCTTCTGGCATATAACATTATTTATCACTTAAAGACATTTGTTAAACAGTCAGTACATCAATATTTAATGCGTTGCGCCGTGAAACTAAGATATTTGATAAATAAAAAAGGTAATTCAATTTATATTCTTGATGATACATATATAGTAACCATGGTAATGATAGATATTTACAACATTGTATATCTGCGTATTACAATATCGAAAGTGCTGCAGTTTTGGGAATCGGGTGAGTTTTGGTCAAAAATAAAATGTACCCGAACTATGAAACGAAGGAGAAGGGGAATAACTCGTGCTATCATCACAACAAAAGAAACACGGGGAGTTCATTGAGGTTTCATATCGAGGAAAAGGAGGAAATTAACTAGTGCTACATTATACCATCACAACATAGGTACAAGGGTAGTGGATTGAGGTGCTAAATCGAAACATTTCTCAATGTGATACAAATAAATATGATAAAACGATGGTGTAGAACAGTCGAAAATTGGTAGAAAATGTACATTTTGTTTCGTCACCGGCTTAACTCACCGTTGTCGACTCTTCGACTACTTTTCCTTGCTTACATTACATTTCATAAATCAGAGAAAATTCCTAAAATGATCCTCTTCTGCAATATTGTGACACGAGTTGAGTAGCTAGCTTATAGACGATGATAAGTTTAACAATAGTTACTGTAGGGGATATTTTTTGTTACTGTTATGTTCGAATAGTAACTACGTATAAGCTTAGGGTAGTAATATTAGCTTACTACAAATGTAATAAACAATGGTAGTTAATGATAGGTTAGAATACAATGGTTGATATAAACTTTATCATATTGTACATCATACAAGTATACAAGGCACGATATTTACTGTTAGGTTACAGGTCTGAGTAGTTACTGATAAGTTTAGTTAGAGAAGTAACTGGTACATGTACCTTTAGGTTGTAGTAGTTACAGTTAGTAGTTACAGTTAGTAGTTACAGTTAGGTTCGAGTAGTTGTTATTATATTAAAGTTTTATACTAGGTTATAGTAGTTGTGTAAAAGATGAGCATTGATTAGGGTGCATTACAACCGTCAGCTGTAGGGAATTTCCCTTTAGTTCAGCGGTATAGCATCGGGCTGGAGAGCCAAGGGTCGCGGGTTCGAGCCCTAGCGACGACACTATCTTTATCACTATTCATTGTGCTACTGCAGTTACATTAAGGTTATGTCAGAAGCGCCAGAAGGGCTACAGTCTGCGATTGATGTTTTTGAATTATATTGTTCTAACTGGAAGCTCTCAGTGAATACTAAACAAAAAAAAAAAAAAAAAAAAAAAAAAAAAATATTAAACGAAAAAATAAAGCACAGTTAACATTTTTATTTGGAGGAGTTGAAATTGACATAGAAGAGAGTTTTATGTACCTAGGACTTGTTTTTAACTACAATAGCATTTTTATCAAAGCAAAAGAACGACTAATTCAACAGGCTCAAAAAGCATTATTTGCAGTACGCAGAAAAAATAGGAATATTTCTTTACCAATTGATCTCCAGTTAAAACTGTTTGACTCAATAGTGTTGCCAATTCTAATATATGGTGCAGATGTTTGAGGATTTGAAAATAACACTTCAATTGAAAAGATTCATTTACAGTTTTGTAAGAGACTGCTTAATTTTAGAAGGAGCACTGTTAATTACATGGTGTACGGAGAAACAGGAAAATATCCTATCCAGATTAAAATAATTTGTAAAATGATAATGTTTTGGTATAATCTAGTCACTTGTCATGATAAGCTATAAGGCAAAATTTACAAAATCATGTACAAGTTACACGAAAATAACGTCATTAAGTTTAAATGGTTGCAAAATATTAAAAAAAACACACTAGGTAACTCGGGAATGAACTATGCATGGATATTTCAAGAAACATGTACTGTAAGCAAGCCGCTACTGAAAAACACCCTTAAATCTAAGTTACAGGATCAATTTATTCAAAAAAGGAATTATGACGTCACAATATCATCCAGAGGGAATACCTATTCTATTTTTAAGAAAGATTTTGGCTTAGAAGAATATTTGAAACGGCTTGGGAAAAAAGATCGGGAAATAATGTCTAAAGTCAGAACATCAAATTTGAAACTCCCTATCGAAACAGGAAGATGGACAGGTGTCCCAAGGGAAAATAGAATATGTCCTCTCTGTAACATCGATGTTGGCGACGAATTCCATTATTTATTTATTTGTAATAACAGTCACATTACGGAATGGGGGCAAAAATGTATACCTAAGTATTACTTTAATTATCCGACGACCGTGAAAATGAAAGGATTGTTTCAAATTTGCAACTCTGTTCTCCTTAAAAAAAATTGTAGAACTCTAGAAACAACATTGAAAATATTAATTATGCTGTAAATCCTGTTATATCATAAGTTATACAGAATAAGATGTTGTATTTGTATAAATGTGACCTCTTGTACCACACAAAAGTGTGGCTGAGTGAAATAAAAACTTGTGAAAACTTGTATAGTAGCGTGCGTCATTTGATTGGTCGAAAAACAAATGGTAAGTAACATAGTGTTTCTCTTGAATCTAAATAAATATGAATTTCTTTTTTAATTTACAAAAAATATGACGCAAGGGTTTTTTTCAAATTCTTTTTATCACTCTTGTTGACTCGGATGAAAGCGCAAAGGGAGTGTTAATGTGGGAGGAAACCGGAGAACCCGGAGACAACACAGGTGATTGGGCAAGTGTCCCCATACTTTTTCATGTCCGATCGGGGAATCGAACACAAGCCGTCTTGGCAAAAAGCAAGTACGCTCTCCGCTGTCCCATCTGACCACTATTGGTTTCAATAATCGGGATCGTTCTAATGAAAAAATAAGTTCACTTTCCCTTCAACTATGATCAACAGCGTTCATCTTAAATATGCTATATACAAGTAAGTACCGATTACAAACACAATGCAATGTCACTTCCCATACGCCTCAGCAGGCCCCGGTACCTGGTACAACCATACCTAAGTTTTCATTTAGATAATCCAGACAAGTGTCATTGAGATGGTATTTCTCTCCCAAGACGTCTGGAATCCGACTACAATACTTTGCATGCGACACCTGTTAATTGATTAATGAAACAATAAACCAAAAAGTTCTGCATACTTTTATAATGTGTTTGTGTGATCAGTTTTAGTAAAGTTACACAGGTTCGGTGACTGTTTCTTTTGTGTTATTGCTAGTTGGAGACAATGATTTAAGACAAAGTGATTGTGTATAGAGCTCCCCAACAGAGAGAGTGATTTACCGGCCTGTCTACTGTTGTTGGTGGGGGGTGAACATGCCTCCTTTAAATTATCCATTCATAATTGATTTGTGCACTCATGATTGTGTGTATTCCTGGTACCGTTATAATGTCACGACACTTTGACTTTCCTTTATGGTGAATAACGCCTTGTTCAGGATAATTAGTCGCACTAATTGATTAAAATGGCGATGGTTAGCTGTTGATTGTTTACTACTACCTGTTAATGTACACCGTGTCAACTCCTCACACGGGGCGATATAGGTCCAACGGTCCGAAGTCTGGTCAACCTAACGGGTGTTACAACAATCACATTACTGTCGCCTTAACCTTCTCTTTTTTTTGTTGCAACTTTCGCATACAAATCCGAATTAGGGATACACTTGCGACTGATTCGTCATAATAGTAGAGTCCTTTACAAACCCGATATTGTGAGGCCGCGGTGCAAGCTGACCTGATCGGGTGCCGTGGGCCAATCAGGGTGGACGCATCGGTACATTACTAGACAATAGTATCTAAATAGTCGTGTCATCGCGGCTTAGGGCTGTCCATTCAAACAGTCTTTGACATACGGACGTATACACTGACCATTAGTGACCAGATAACCCACCGCCGCGCTCGGACCTCAGACGGTGTAGCGGCGGGAAGGCTTAGTACCAATAACACAGGAGAGCTAATTGGTAAGTAAAATCTGTAATTTAGAACATAACATTGAAATATCATATTCGTACACATCATCCAAATTTTATTGATGTTGAAAATATCAGATGCGTTACATGTATATGCCGAGCATTTATCAATAGCCGCGGGATTCAATTTGTCGTTTGTTCAATAATTTTCGTATGTTTTATCTTCAGAATCACGTGTTTTTTTTTCTATCTGTAAAAAGTTAAATGTCCTTATGCAAAAAAGATTTCTCAGTATTGTTTATGTCATAAAAGGCTAAAGCAGGATTGGTAATTACATACTCTAGAGAAGGAGAAGAAGAGACCATTAATTACGAATGAATGAACAGACTCTCTCTATATATGACATGTGTCAATATACCCCCGCTTTTATTGATAGACATGTATCGTCCAAATAGTCTTGTGGGTTTTTAAAAGGGGATTGCTACATATGTAATTAATCAGATACCTGCTATTGCTCGATTGGCACTGAATACTCTTTTTCTTGCTTATATGATAAAAGGTAGGGAGATATTAATGTCAGCGCGACATACTAGAATTGACAGGGGCGTATATTTTTAGTATTTAATTATTATCGATTACAACTTAGATTCCTAGACTAGGTACAGCCGTTATTAACGTCTAATCGAATGCCAAAGTGCGTAATCAATCCCTATTTATAGACGGCCAGTAATTGAATCTTTTTAATAATCAATCAATACTTTAGGTCGATACTCATGAATAACTAACTGTGAATCATATGACCGTTCTCTAAACTGTCGTTCTTTATTTTAGCACTCTCGGGAAAAATCGTCCCCCGACCGGTTGGAACACGCTCCGTGGGTACATATTTACAGTGTGGTCAAACCTTAACACATACCGAACCAGGGATTATAGCTGTCTTTCTGGGTAAGAATTCGATCTTCTCACTTTGAGATAAATAGTGTCTTTTCACATGGCACTAGTTTTTATTTAGCTTGTATACCGTTATAGCGTGTACTTGGTTGGTACAGTTTAACAACAGTTGTAAGTCCTGGATGTGATGTCCAACATGCATCACAGAATGTACCATACCATTAGAAAGAATCCATGTTGATAGGATAAAACGACATATTTTGGAGTGGTAGACGGCCAAATGACCATGTAAACTGTGTCCAAGACCCTCCTCTGCGTATTGGATTACACGAAATCTCAAAGCAGCACTCTGCCAGAACTGGATCACAAGTAGGTTTTGTTCAAGTCAGAAATACATACGTACGATATTGACATATGTCACCTAATTAAAGATAAGCTTCGAGCTCTTTAACAAGATAAACAAGAAATTTCAGAAGAGATGTTAAACAAACTTGTGATATGTTTACCAATATATTATAAAGTCAGTGCTACCTAGCTAAGGGCCTACTGTTCTTTAATGTTGCTCAAACGTCAATTGTGTCGAGAACTCAGAGAGTGGAGTGAGTTCCTTCTGAATTGAAAAGGCGCGGATTTGTCGGTGTTACGGATATTGACAATAAAGGTGGGTGTAGTTTTGTACTTCGTGATGAATTAACGAGGTAGGAAGTATCCGTGGATATGATCGGAAAGCCAAGGTCAACAAGGGATCTTTGTCCTTCGGGGTTCATCCTGTTGACAGACTCATTCAAGTGTTGTTTAATACGAAAAGGGTCAAGAACGGATTGAACAGTGAAAACAAGTACACTGGTATGTTTTCCTCAATAACTAAGCGCTTGAATAGAAAGAAATGTGAGTTACGTTGGTTAGGAACAAATACTGAACTGAGGAAAAATTACACGTATATGTATCTATAAACTTACACCTGTGAAGACAGGTAAGTTAGACCATTTTTTATAGTTAGTGTTTTTCTAATTTTCATAATTTCAATTACAGAATACTATTTTTGTTTCATTTTTTTTTATTTATTTTTTAAATCACCAAGAAGCCCTGCATTGTTTAGTATCTCATTTCAGCATAATTACTTCCCTGTGTGGTGGTTTGATCTAGAACAACGTGGTGCTAGCTGCCGCAGATGTCGGCGCCTTTGAAATATCTAAATATAGGTACATGTGGGGGCATAGTACTCCAAAAGTACATATACACTAATTAACTTAATTGCAGATTTGAGAGTGTTCTTTAAATGGGTCGTACTTACTACGACCACCATGAATTTATACTAGATAGCAACAGTAGAAGTGGTCATACCCCAACCCAACTTTAGGCCGTGCATGAACAGTGTCATCTCTATACAGGTCAGCGTTTTGAGTAGTTGCCGATTTAGTGATATTCCGAAAGCCAGTGTGCGGTTGTGGGACAACCAGTTCCCGAGAATGATCTTATACGACAAATTCTACCTCGATAACTATGTTCAAAGGAACCAGACACTTGTGAAGCTCGTTTAAAACCCTTCCCGTTTACCCATACCACAACATGTCAGTCGAGTGTAACTGGTCTGGGACGATTTCGGCTTGGCAAGTGAGGAGGGAGCCTGAAGTTGGTTCCTAGTTCCTAGTTCCGTTTAAGATAAACGGAACTAGGAACCAGACCCTAGTTCCGTGTAAGAAAATTTTAAATGGAGTCTGAATCTCAGTTCCGTATAAGACTAATTTCTTTATAGAGGCTATGGTAGTCTGAATTTTCGTGTCGGTTATAAGAGGCTGGCTATGATGTTTTTTCTGAAAAAGAACTTGGTCGAAGTTTTATTGATGGTGTAATTTCTAGCTGTTTTAAAGTTTTTCTTAAACGGAACTAGGAACTAGGAACCAACCTTAGCCTCCCAAGTGAGTATGTCCAAGTTAAACTTTCGGATGAAGTAAACATGGAATAACGTGACAAATTTTACACGCACAAAATGAACATTCTAAAATATGTATTTGGATTACATAGGTCATGTTTGCCTTATCGGAATTGGAGTAGACAGGGAAACTTGATTAAGAATACGTTTTTACTGGTAGAATAGATAGAATCAATATATGTGTATTTATTTAGTTGAATATTTACATGTAATTGGGGATCAGAAACGGATTTTGTTTTCCCAAACATCCTAAATATTGTTCTGAAATAATCACTACGGGGCGAGGTCACATCGGTTTTATATGTGGATCAAAGACACGTGCATGTGCAAATTCGCTTCTTAATCAGAACGGGCTTCGTAACGATATGTATAGTAAATAACACTATATATAGAAACCCGAATATATAACAATACCTGATTCAGTCTAGAGTTTTAACAGAGGATATCTCCTATTTCAATCTTATTATAATACGTGGCTTAAATCACATGCATTATGTACGCGTGTATGTATGGAAATGTTATGGTAAATGGATAGTACCCTGGTCAAACTGTTTGTTTGTTTAACATAGAACTGTTTTGGATAACAAACTATAAAGGACAGTGTCACCCAATCCTGCAATAATAAATAAATACTTTAAATGTCCCCATAAGAGATCAGCTAACTTAAGTTTGATTAAACTCATATATACAAAACCTTTAGGTCGTGTATAATTTCAGAATAATGATACACGCGTATTAACTTGACCCATTAGTGTAATTTGACCCAAGTTTATTATAGAATCGATTAAGCCTTTACTATTTATAAAAATAAAACACAAGCCGGCATTCGTCTAATTTCTGATAGGCCGTACATGAACATATGCATATCTCACCAGGTTAAGTGTTAATAAACATGTTTTTTAATCCATTTAAAATGTATTTATAAAGAATGTAAATCGCATTAACATTACAAAAGGCGCGATGCACTAAATACGTATTACAAAAACGAATCACAACCTACGTTAAAGGGATTACTGAACGTGCTACGATAGTTGTGGTTTGGCCTATGTGTGTGTGCGGAAGTGTGACAAGCTGGGGAGGAATTGATCGGGAGGTAAGACATCTTGCGGTAATGAAACATGCAACGTACACATTCTCATATAAGCACAGAAATCAGTGTTTGCTGTCTATAAGAAATTGAGAAACATATCATTACCAGTTGATCTACAATTGAAGATATTTAATGCATTAATCATGCCAGTTCATCTGTATTCATCAGAAATATGGGGTTTTGAAAACACAAATATTATAGAAAAAATCCATCTTCAATTTTGTAAATATATACTAAATGTAAGAAAAAGTACACCCAATTTCATTGTTTATGGTGAGCTTGGAAGATACCCACTAGACATCGAAATTAAATGTAAAATAATAGTATTCTGGCATAAGTTGATTACCTCTAGTAAGTTATCAAGTACTATGTATAAGCTAATGTATACATTACAAGAAAATGGAACTGTGTTATTTAAATGGCTCGCATATATATGTTAAAGATATTTTATCTCAAACTGGCCTGAACTATGTGTGGTACTATCAATCTACATGTTCTTTTTCAAAAGACGAAAATAAGAGGCTTGTGAAAAGTAGACTACAGGATCAATTTATACAGAAATGGTTTGATGATATTCTTAACTCCTCTAGAGGACAAACATATTCAATATTTAAGACAAAGTTTGAACAAGAAAAATATTCAATTAAGCTTAACACAAATGATAGGAAAATTATGTGTAAATTTCGTTCTTCCAATATGCATTTACCCGTAGAAAAAGGAAGATGGTTAGGTATTCCTCGTCAAGAAAGAACATGTACATTATGCAATTCCGACTTTGGAGATGAATTTCATTACTTATTTAAATGTGAAAGTGATTTAGGTAAATGTCTAAGAGAGAAATGTATACCAAAATATTATTTCACTTATCCAAGTCAAATAAAAATGCAAGGATTTTTTAATATATTTAATGTAAAATTTTACACAAAAGTTTGTAGATTCCTAAAAAAGCTTGAAAACATATTAACTTAATTTCTGTACAAGGTTGTGCTCCTTCTATATGTAACTATGCTATATACAATGTTGTAATTGTGTACATCACACGCCATGTATCATATTTACTATATGTATGTGACCTCTTGTCACACACGTAAGTGTGTCGGAGTGAATAAATAAAACTTTAAACATGAAACTATAAGTATATATTGCATATCATGTACATAACTTATTATGAAAAATATCTTAAATGTGTTTATCTTCAATCTGTTAAATTTACGGAATGCAAAAAATAATTGGAGATGCTTGCGACACTTAAATTGGAGAATAATGGACGTTTGCATTATTAAAAATTTAACAAGGAACACGTGGACAGTATTATCTGTAAATTGTGAACCGATTGAAAATTGACGATGTTATTGTGAGTTGTGTACTGATGAACAATTGACGTTGATGCCTCAGTGAAGTTTGCACATAGAGACCTGTTTACGGTGAAATATAAGTCTAAAGCAATGGCCAGTTTACGGTGATACTTGTTACGACCGAAGACCAGTTGTTGATGAAAGTTAAAGTACGTATTATATATTTACCATATGACATTATACATTGATACGACAAGATGCCGATGATATCACTAGTTAATGCAAAACTTGTAAGTTTTAGACCAAGGCCGCGTCAAGATGATGGCGATACAAAATGAACTTGTAAGGTATAAACTTAAGACTCCGTTGACGTTTAGAGGGATAAATGCACGTTGATATTTGTAAACTTTCGAATGAGAAACAAATTGCAACCAAAAGGGTTTTGAAAGAAGAAAACGTTGATGGTAACACGGTTATACGGGCGGATAAGGCCACTGTTATTGGTAAATATGGAGTTGTTCACGAGTAAATGCTGAGTAAATATAAATTACAGAGTCGTCAACTTTGGGACGTTGATCAATACTGTTTTGGATTTATTGGTGGTAAATTGATCACCATATTATCGATTTCCTATCGATCACCTATTGAACCCTAATCTTTGCATCACTGTTTAATTCCTAAAGATAGGGTGACACAATCTGTAGCGCGCGAGGTGGGAACAAAAGAAATTAATCATGAATAAATTCATGACAGCCGTCGATCTGCGGTGTTGTGTGTTAACGTCACACCACAGGTATTGTCTACGGTAAACATTTAAACGATAAACAATTACAAACAATAGCCGTAGTCCAGTGGTATTCCGGTAGTAGGATCCTCGTTTGTCCTCGGTATGTCAGCTATCTTTCGAAGACTGCTGTGTCATGTCTGTATGTTGTTGTACGGAGTCCTATGTGACATCATTACAACATTCGCCCGGTCAATAAGTCATCCAAAATTAATGCAGAATGCCAATGTGAAGTTATTCCCTAATACACTTTATAGCGACAAACATGTACATTACATATATTGCACTATATACAGCGGAATACAAATTGCTACATTTTCTGTACCAATGTTTCTTCAACGTCGACCTTGATTGTTTGCACAATGAAAAGTGAGATAAGTCTTACATGTTGGCCTTCGTAACGGTTAGACTCCCAGTTTAATGAACTGTGCGTGCTTTGTGTAAAGATTGGAAGACAATTACAAAACATAAAAGTAGATTCGTCATATATTTTGACATATAGTAACTTGTGAATTGACGAACATGTCGCTATTTTCTTGTCTGAGTGCAAGTGTTTCCCGAATGTCATTGTATGCATGTACCACGAAGTTCAGGTTTTTGAGCTTAGACAAATTTTGTTTAATGTTAAAGATTGAAATCATGTTGGAATTCGATGAGAGATAAAACAACAATTATATTTCAAAAGAAGTGAAGTAGCAATGATTTCATGAACTCAGTATACAGCGAGAGAATGGTTCCACATGGCGGGGAAAACATACTCCATGTATGATAAATAAACATACCGTGATAATAATGTACACAAGTAGCAGTGCATGTGAAATCAGAAAAGCGAATAAATGTATGTATTTTGGAGTAGATAAATAAAAGAATATAACATAAGGGCTAGGGAGAAAATGAGGTACGGGAGGAGTTTCCCTAGATACATAAGACCATAGGAAAGCTGGTGACGTCAATATGTCTCGTGAATCTAGACCAAATACTGTAAGAATCGGATAGATCGGGGTTTCCGTACTACATTTAAAGCGTAAAGGTTGGTACCCACACAGGTAGGATTCCATTTTCTTCAGAACAATCCTAGGTAAATGGCTGTCTACACTGACTCTATTGTTGAAGATAGGTATAAACTACGGCCATTGTCATGACATGAACAATAGGGGTGGCTGCAATAAACGCGAATTGTTTAATCAAGGTAAATATGCAATCAATGTAGAAGTCACCACAGGAAATTAAAATTCTTGCTTTTGTCAAAGTAAGGTCATATAAACAGTACAAAGATAACATGTAGTTGCAGCTGGGACCTGTTACACGTCCATCCTACTAAAACATTACAAAGGCAACTTAAGTAGATTTAAACAAAGAGGGAGTTACAATGTCGACTCGGAACCAGCGTGTAAGATTCTATGTCCCTTTGATAATCCTCTGATGGAGGGAAATTTTATCTTGACTGAATATGACAGGAATTTAAACAGGGAACTCCACAGGAGACATTCCTCGCTAATATTTAAACCTTGTGTTGCAGATAATGGCGTCCTTTCGGAGGGGAGGCCAATATCGCCAGTCCAAGATGTTGTCCACAGAAGAAAAATGGAAGATACTTTTCAATCAGGTCAGTACTCGTTGTCTTCGTGACTCTTACAGCTATGACTTTAGGAGGATATATCACTATATATAAACTTCTTTTCTTCTAATCTAATTTTCTGACCAACCATTTCCTTCAACTTTAATCGAAAAGAAAATTAGGGATCACTATGTTTTTTCCCTGCTTTGAACATTAAAAACAGAAAATTTTGATTTATAAAATGTTCATTTAATTCATACGTATCAAATAGTTCGTTTAAATTATTAATGTACACATGCTATTTTGAAAAAAGAAATTGCAACTTGTGTTAATGACATATCAAGTAACGTTCATGTATTGGCTTTCTTACATTTTACATTTTCTTACATGAACCAATACACCTAAACATTAAAGCTGATATTTCATATAATGACACAATATATAACTATGTTTTAGATTTACACAAATTTAAGATTAACCTTCAATCCTACATTTGTAGAGAAAACAACAGGTCACTATTATTGCTATTATCTGCAATAACCCCTTTACATGTACACCCTTCCCCTCAACCCCTATTCCCGACCCGACCCCATTTTGTACGGATGAAAAGTTGAACTGTTTTAGGTCAACTTAAGAAGGACTTTAAATTGAGGGTTTTACATGAAATTTGGCTTTATGTCATATTATCTGTCCAACATTGTCAATATGTACATTGTGAAGCTAAACTTAGTCTTCTAGAAAAACAATTACATAGATATCTGAAATGAACGATAGAGTATAAATGACCGAACATTTAAAGCTTGAACTTCTTTGTTTTCTTTCACTTTAAAACCGATTGTTAAAAATAACAATATTTGGCATTTTGATTTTAAATAATTTTAAGGAATTAGTTGATTTTTAGAAACCATTGAGTAAATTATCAATATGTTTTAAACCCATAACTACTAGTCGATCTTTCTCGATGTCTGTGATGCTCTGTCGAAACGAGTTTAAACGAGGCTTTTTAAATGATTCACCATCATTATTGTCTGTTTGATGTTTCTATTAAGTCCACAAGTCCGTTTATGTCTGTCCGAATTTTCCGTCATATATTTCTATTACGTCAGTTTGAATGTCTGTCACTCGTCTGTCTTTCAGGATTTGGCAAATATTTCCATTTACCTCTCTTCTATTTCCAATAGACCTGCATTAATGTATATTACTTGAAGTGCTACTTGACTATCCGTGCTGTTGTTTGTCTTTTTCAAGTTGCCTTACGACCAGAAAAAGGATACAAAAATTATTACTTTTTGATCCGTGTGAAATTGATATGCAGCAAGGTTATATATATATCTGAAGTAAATCGTTTTGGTATGCATGCATTACGAGGTAGATAGTATGATGTCATCATTCGACCTATACAGACTAATTGGAGATATAATTGATTTAAATATCGTTATTTCTAGATGTTCTATTGCTACACAAGCATGCCTTTGGTGTCGTTTTTTCTTCTACAGTGGTGTTATATTGGAACAAGATTTTAACTTAAAGATAAGGTTCCCCTAATAACTCCGCGCAGATAGATACCATCTTATCAATTAGGCAAGCCCGTACTTTGAGGCCCCCGACAGGAGGTAACCAATATATCATTATTTACCAATTAACCCTACATTTGCAAAATGCAACCACGTTTTTATACGGTCAATTTTAACGTAAAGCAATTTCAATTAGTCACTTTTATCGTACACTTTAGATATAATAACGGTATTCCATGATCTGACTATTCTTTACAGAACTGGGACTGCCAGTGATTTAATAAGTAAATTTAATCAGTTAAACACAGAAGTTCTCGCTGAGATATGACTGCTATGGTCCATATTGTTTTCATTCCCGAGTACGTAGAACAGTTTTGAAATTTTAACACAGATAACATGCCACGAAGATTGCTAACACCTATAGATTTCATAATATAATTGACAGAATTACAGTGTTATTTCCTAATAAAGTTACGTGCGTACCATGCTCGACATTGCTGACCAGTCCCGTTGTGACCAGTTATACATCATAGCTAGTCCATATTTTTGTATTCATTTTTGGAACATTATTAACAGACGATACAAAATAAATGTTTAATTCTATATTGATTGCGCGTAAGTTCACCCTCTCCTCCTTCTTATTTAAGTACATGTATATATAAGCATGATTAACTCTAATAGCCATCAAGTTATGACGTTGTTCATTGAATATTTTTAGTAAAGGGATGTTTATAGGTGAAGATTGTAATCACTTGTCAACCGTGTTGCGGTTTCATTGATACCTGACGGAAGCGAATATGATCAAAGAACTAATAACCAGTGTTTATTGTAACCATAGGTAACCAAACACCTCCAAAGGAAGTGAACGGGAAAATGTCACATTAAAAAGAAGCCGTATCTATATCCAGAAAGAGAACATGACATAAATAAATAGCATTGCTGCATTTTATTAAATCGGACGACAGAGCGACCAAACTGTGTGGTCAACCTGGCTTGTGTAAATCAATATATTTCAAAGGGATTTCAAAATATTTTTTATTTACCTATTATATTTCTGCATAGACAAGTGTTCAAACTGTATTTTATATATAATTCTTTATTTGGTTAACGAGGATTACGAACTGTATTTTATCTTGTAGCAAACGCGAAAGTCTGTATACAGTGCACAACAGTACTGCGATCACATCCGGAAATACTTACAGAGCTTGTCTGGACAGACAGAAGGGAATTCTGGGAGCCGAGATGAAAGACCAATGTCGTATTTACTGCGGAAACTCAAAGTCGACTTACAAATGTCGTTTCAAAGGTAACACAAAAATAAATCACTTCTATTTCTCTATTATAGTTTTGTTGAGTATAATTTAATTTGTTTTCATTTTCCCAAATTACTTAAATTGTACCAATAGCCGACTGACCGACACCATTACTGTTGCAGTTTCGTACAGGAGTTCCTGCGAGAGCCACTATTGGGTATTGGTCTTCTGCTTGCTACTCTCAAGGCCGTCCAAAAATGCACATCCGACTTCTCACGTGCCACTGCCAAAGTCAAAGCCATCAACTCCAAACGACTGTTGGTACGTTGTGCCTTTCATTAGTGAATCTAATTCCCCCCTCCAATCTCTCCTACCTCTTTCCCTTTCCCCCTCCCTTTTTAAGAAAGGTCTATTATTTTCAAAATCTCTCTGCGTTGTAGATAAAAACACCAGTCTCATTAATAAGATTAGTCCTAACTTTAAACCATGTCTTCAAAAACGATATATCCTCTCTATGCTCGAGTTGTCCTTGTATGTTATATGTTACGTCACTCATCGATACTACTTTTAGTAAGCTAATAAAACTAATTAAATGGACCTGAAGTATCGAGTATACCCTGTGACATATTCTTATTTTCAGACGGATGAACACGACTGCTTGCTGTGCCTCAAATTTGCCTTACGTGAACAGGTGTGTATGACGTAATCATTTAATGGCATTTAAGTGTAGGGCCTTGCTCTCAAACGTTAGGTATGGACTGCGACCATTGATTTTCTTGCGACATGTTTCTCCCATTAATGACCAAACACCCATATTGATATTCCTTGACTTTTGTATACAAGGTATACCGACCACAGTTCATTCGTTGCAATGACTATTTAATTTATTATTCTAATTGTTTAGAAAATGAGGATAATACCTTTGCCAACATAGAGAAAAAAATAAACCACACTGTATTATTGTCAAAATTGGCCGAAATAGGGATGTTGTAATCTTTGTCTTTAGTCATGCTAGCGACACCATTAACCTCTAGGGTCTATTGTTTTAGGAGGCCACGAATCTGCTCCTTGACGAGTCGTACGGACTGGAGTGCGTAGCTTCAGCCCTAATGAGTTCCTTCACGAAGTCCCGCTTGGTTGCGTTAGAGGTGGGTACTGTCAGACGAGACGGGAACACCATAGGGCTAAAGTTTAAATGTACGAATAGCTACACATAAAATAATGCAATATTATACGACGATTCTCGTAATGACATGTCACAACAATCGTTGTGGCTCTTTAATACATTTTGTATTTCGATTCCGGTAGAGATCAAATGTATATAAAATGCCACAAGCTGTAATCTGTTACTGTTTGGGTTCCAACTACTTTGCTTGTGTTTGACGTTAATGTTTTGGTCTCTTTTGTTTACTTCAGATAATGAGTCTTGTTTTGACTGACTCGAAAGGGTTTTCCAGAAACCTGGATTGTTTTACGTACTTCCGATTGAAGAACTGCGAGCCTGTCCGTTTTCGTTTTCTCGTCAGCATGCTGATGTCTACCGGCTCACAGAATGTTGCCTTTCAGGTAGGTTTTATCTTAACACAGAAACGCGATGTTATTGTGGAACAGATTCAGCTTTACAAACGTTTTCTTTCATGTTGTTTTAGTTTTGTCCATATACTCACCTATCTTTTTTTCAATTTTATTCTGGAATATTCATACTACGAAAGGTTTTTAAACTAACTAGCAACACTACAGTGTATGCAGGTTTGCATTAATTAAATTTTTTTTATTTCATAATGCAGGTTTGTTGTATGAAGTTTATCAACTCGCTCCTTGCTGCGAGCCCAAACATGAACTCCAGGGTGTTTCTTCAGAATGAGCTGATCACTGCAGGACTGGATGCGGATACCTTAAAGCAGGTTAGCTGTTCATTCTTTGTTTTCATACACTCGATCTAAAGGAGATATTGAAAGGTTGGCACTATGTATATTTAATTTCTTCAATATTCCATTATGTTTCTTTACGTATTTACATTTGTAATACTAACGTGTTAAACCGTCTGTTTTTCAATTCTCATATAGAGTGTTGATACTGAGTCAAGTTTGGAACACATAGAACTGGGTCGAGAATTAACCGAATTCCATGAAACGTTTGTGGATGTTGATGCGTTGATAGAATACCGATCATCTCTTGAAACAACGAACGACGATCTCCAGAAACAAGTAATACATACATCTATTGATCTGCTATTAAAGATTCACACAATCTCCTGTAAAAAGGTACACATGCTTTGAATTTCTTAAGAGCACCTTTCTTTGACAAGGTATATGAAAAGGAAAAAATAATAAAAAAGGATCTTGAAATAAATAAATACGGTAAAATGAATATTGATATGTTGATAAATCATTACATTAACACACCCTTGCTGGTTTCTTTTAGTTATTCGTCCTGCAAGAGGAAGTCCAGGTAAGCTGTTTTCTATGAGAAAATTCAAAGTTGATTAGCAATAGAATTAAATTATTTTAATTTGTATTATTCGTTATCAGTATATACATTATACATTCCATTTCTCCAGTTATTGTTGTTCGTTTTCGAATTATGCAAATCCGTAAACTGTACGCCGGGAAATGAAGTTTGCTTCTTGAAATTATCTGTTTTTTGCTGAAAATTCCTGTTAAACCCATGATTGAAATAATCTATCATTGTTATACATCACGAGTGTTTATATGGTACGCAGAGTACACGGAACACAAGTGACATTGACTCTGGGGATGCGTCTATGAAGTCAAAGACAGGTGACAACAGTGCTCACCCCAAAGTTCCAGGTGAGTACGACCGGAACCGATCAGACACACATTCACAAATGCACTTGTTCATTTACAAATAGTTAAGAACAAACGAAACGCTTAAATATACAGGTTAAAATAATTCAAACAAAGTTTATGAATTGCGATCAAATTAATTAGTTTTTTTAATCTTTAATATATCAAACACTCTATACGTTTGTGATGGAATATGATATAACTCTTCTACTGATGTGTTTCCATGACATGTACTCATTGACGTGTTTTTATTAACGTATACTTATATTAGTTATTGACGTTATTCTGTTGAAGAATTCTTAATAAAACGTAGGAATTGCCCTGTACGTCAACGAATGTGCCAGTATGATAATTGACGTACATTCGTTGACGTATTGTCACAGACGTATTCTTATTAACGAATACGTATTACATGTTATATACTCTTTATTGCTATTAACTAATTGATAGATAATTGATGACTTATTGAGTTTTATATGTCTGCCCAACCCCGTATTTTACAGATCCCCCGCCACCACCTCCGTGTACCGGGCCATCCAGAAAACCAAACACGGGGATAACATTTCCGTTCCTCTATTGGAAACCCCTCAATGACGTACAAGACACCATCTTCCAGGTAAAAACCTATTAAGTATTTTCGTGAAGGACAATATGTGTTAAACACAGAAAAATGTACATGACAGCGATGATTTTCTTACTAAAGTAAAGTCTCACTGAAATCCATTCACGTATATGACAACACCTATAAATATCCCATTTCAGACTTTGAGCAATGACAATATCCTAAACGATGAGGACTTGGACGTATATGACTTCACCTATAAATATCCTATTTCAGACTTTGAGCAATGACAATATCCTACACGATGAGGACTTAGACCTATAGATGACGTCCCATATAAATATCCCATTTCAGCCTTTGAGCAATGACAATATACTACGCGATGAGGACTAGACGCATATGACGTCACCTATAATTATCCCATTTCAGACTTTGAGCAATGACAATATACTACACGATGAGTACTAGACGCATATGACGTCACCTATAATTATTCCATTTCAGACTTTGAGCAGTGACAATATCCTACACGTTGAGGACTTTGACATGACATCACCTATAAATATCCTATTTCAGACTTTGAGAAGTGACAACATGCTACACGATGAGGACTTAGACGTATATGACGTCATCTATAAATATCCCATTTCAGACTTTGAGCAATGACAATATCCTAAACGATGAGGACTTGGACGTATATGACTTCACCTATAAATATCCTATTTCAGACTTTGAGCAATGACAATATCCTACACGATGAGGACTTAGACCTATAGATGACGTCACATATAAATATCCCATTTCAGACTTTGAGAAGTGACAACATCCTACACGATGAGGACTTAGACGCATTTGAAGCAGCGTTCAGACTTGAATCAAGAAAACCGCTTGTCACTCTGAAAAAGAATCAAGGTAAAAGATCAGATTTTCATCTTTGTTCAATATTATACAATTATGGACTTCAGATGAGGTCTATCCCTGATTTACGGACCTGGTCTGAACAATATCCACAGAGGCCGAAGGCCGAGGTGAATATTGTTCCGACCAGGTCCGTAAATCAGGGATAGACCGAATCTGAAGTCCACAATTGTTTTATTATACATGTATGACATTTTACAATGAGATTAATATGTTTTCAAGTCATAAACACATGGTAGGCATGGACCATTTAGGATAGAATCACAGAGTGAAGGACTTCAAATACAAAATAACATACACAAAATTTGAATTTCAGATTCAATTCATGTGATATTTAATTTCAAGTAAATATTATTTGCACAATCGACATCATCAATATTCACATAGTTCAGAATGTGATGAGATAATTCATTTGCAGTTGAATTTAGTAGTGTGGTTGGTAACAGAATTATACAGACTGGCTGGGAAATGACCTAGGCCTGATTTTAGAAGCGGTCTGTTTATAGGTCGAGGTCTGTAACACTTTTCCATTCATAGAACGAGGTTTGTAACAGGTCATTTGATTGCAATTGGCTGTTAATCGGTGGCTGGGAAATTTCCGAGGCCTATTCTAGTAGCGGTCTGTAACACTTTGATATGTATAGGTCGAGGTCTGTAACGTTAACATTTTTCTATTCATAGAACGATCGAGGTCTGTAACACTTTTCTATTCATAGAACAAGGTCTGTAACATATTTACAGACACGTCACATGATGTCGCTCCTCCAATCAGGGTTGTGAATAAGCACCAGTCATATAATAATGCTATTTATTTACTTAATGTCCCTGCAGGTAGGGCGTAAGAATTGTACCTGCTGCCCCCATTGCAAAATCGTAAGAGGCGACTAAATTTGGGATCTTATCTTTTGTCTTCTGTCTAAACAACTTTCTTCTTCATAATGTCTCCCTTGACAATGCCTAACTTTTGGCCTTTAGTTGAGCGTTCGCCCCTGTGAGGTAGGCTTTGTGTTCTGTCCCCTGGTCGAGACATACCAGTGTCTGTAAAAATGGTAGTTTCAACTCCTGCTTAACGCTCAGCAATTAGGAGTGGGACGACTGGTACGCCCGTTGTCAGTATAATGTGACCGGGTGGGGTGTCCTGCTGGGTGTTTTCGGCAGTATGTTTCAGTGAGATAACACTACAAAGTCGGCATCAATCCCGCGCTTTCACATTGATGGGGGCTGGAGGGGCTGGAGATTGAAAGAAGTGATGGGTATCAAAGAAATGTGATGATAGATGTAAGGGCTGTATAGAGTGCTAGTCGTATGGACCGGGGAGGTGTTTGGAGTGATTGGGAGGAGGGGTTGGCTGGGGGGGGGATACTTAGTTTTTGATATTTTTACTTTTATGTGTAAGTGCTTTTTGTTTTATAAAGTTGTTTTGAGTACTTTGATTTATTGTGTCCTAGTTTATTATTCAATAATTTTGCGTTCTTGCCTGGTTTCACAATCACCAACTTGTAAAAGGTATCAAAGTATATTTTCCTTGGGAATAGAGTTTGCAAACGCTAATCAAATATCACCAGTTCCTTTTCATGTTTCAGAATCTCGACAGCTACGTCACGAAAAGAAAATGATTTTTCTAGAACGATCAAGAGCACATAATTTGGGTAAGTAAGATGAAAACATATCATTATGCACAGGCTTTGAAAATCTGAAGAACATACTCTGTTTAAAATGGTGTCAGACAGATTGACTGTTTTAGTCGTATATTTGCTTTTGAAGTAGTATGACAACATGACATCACTTAATACATCACGCATCCCCCGATATGATATTAGTATTCAACCTTATTAAATTGTAATGTAAAGAGTCTCGACTAAAACAGGTGTCTACCTTACAGTTCTGGCTCGGCGGAAGGTGGGACTGGCGGCGGAGGATGTAAAAACAGCACTGGACCAGTATGACTATGAAGCTGTAGATGCGGACAGTGCGGAGCTGCTGTCGCGATTCATTCCAACTGAGACCGAGGTATGTACTTCATAAACAAATATCATATTTGATACTCAATCGCACTAAATATGTTGATATACAGCTTAATTTGAATGACATTGAGTAGTTACTTGTCATAATCTTATCTTTCTTTGAACTAGTTGAGAGACGTGATGTCACTTACCTGTAACTATGAAGAGTTGGCAGAGGCGGAACAGCTCATTGTTCAGGTAAACTTTTTTTATGACGATAACTATCGACAATTTTCAATAAAGATTGTATAAGCTCATGAACTTTATAACAAAATAAAACAAAAAAGATTTTCCTCATTGGAATTCGTTTCACAGAAATTAACGCGTTATACAGTATTATCAAGATTTGGTTGGAAAAAGTCATACGCAATACTACATTACATCGCGTATTATTTACAGCTTGTGTCTGTGTCGGATCTGGAGGGCAAACTCAGCTGTATAGCCTTCATGAATCAATTTCAGAGGAAGGTGGATGCCCTGGCACCGGTAAGTACAAAGTCGGTTGAAACAAGGGAGGTTATTGATATAGTTTGTCAGCTGTCCTCAATCTCGTGATAAACCATGAAGTTATTTCGTCTTTTGGAAGTACAGTGATAAATTAAACCAATTAAACTAACTACAAGCTTGTTATTGGTAGCTACTGAAGGCCATCCTGAAATTGTTAATGCAATATTGCTGCAGGGAGACGTCTTTGGTCCTTTTCTGTTCCTACTTAATATTTTTCATGGCATAGCTGATATAGTTACAGTTGTGGGATCGCACAATGTTACACGATGTGCGGTGTGCGCACGATGTGTGCACGGTGTGTGAACGGTGTGTGCACGATGGGCGAACGATAAAAAGCTGGACGATCATTGTATGCGCACATCTGTGCGCACGTTGGACGGACGTTGTGCGATAACAATCGTGGTTCGTGTAAATTGAGGAATGCCTTAACAATTTATACGAGTTCGTGTTTAAATATATCAACTTGATGTTTACGTATGTTTCTATATTCTAGTAACATATATAAACTTATCTTTCTGTCTATGCATTCTTATATTTAGAAATTGTGTTTTCTGTGTTTTTAAACAAACTTAATCGACACATGTATAATTACAACACAATCCCGTATACAGGTAAACATAACCACTTTGTACATGTACCTGGACCGTAGTTTTCTCCCCGCCTGGGGCACTTACGTAACTCGTCGGGTAAGGCCGGGGGTGTGAAAATCCAGGTGAAGGGGAGCTATAGGCAAACGAATGCAAATAACAAATACTATTCATTACGGTCAAACGGTATCGCATATCAGCTCTGTGTGTCAGGCACTGGTCAGGTAAAACTCCGGACACTCATCAAATTGTTATTTACCTGTTCTGTTACCTTTGGAGCCAAACCCATTCTTGACAGCTTAACGGTCGCTGTAATACTGTGTAACACGCATTGTGAAATTGTATAATCTTGATTATTGTGATGAGAAATTACAGATATATACACAGTGTACAGCATACAAGCCTTCCGTATTTTTGTCATTCCGTAATTTTGATCTACAAATGATAGCAAATCGCACAGTTAACTGTGCGGAGAGAAGCGCACAACGGGGCGAACGATTGCTAAATCGCACAGTTGTGCGCACCATGTGTGATCGGGACTCCGTGGAGGTACATCACATTTACAAATCTACATAGAGAAAGTTTGGAAACTGTATCTTGTAATGGGAAATTTTGGAGCGTGTTTTAAATAGGAAACATGGCATCACTACTGTTGATGATGAATTCAATAAGAATATTCTAAACAGTGTATCAACTTTATTTCTAAATTCAACACAGTTCTTTTAGATTCCTGTAAAATACCAGTTATATGTAATATTATCATGATCATGTGTGCACCTGTCGCCAATATTTAAATGAGAGAATGCTATATATATACATGAATATTCAGTATTTGTACATATGATTAGTGCACTGTTCAAGTAAATCATCAATACAGATAACGGAATTGTCTGTATGTTATATCTTTACTTCGTTTGCTGAATTACATATATACAAGCTCAAGCCTCTATTGATTATGAAGAGTTTATTACCTTAATGTGTTATTAAGTGCCAGTCACCCTGTGAGTCTCTTTAGATCCTGGAGAAGACCTAGTGTTACATTATGTACAATGTATGGTCTGTTGTCCTGGTGGTGAAACATGAACGCATATCTAAAGTTATCTTCCCTAAACATGTGACACAGATTTATCTCCCCTACACCACTGACTTGGATTTGTATACTGTTTGTATATTCATGATAGTTGTTATCAATTTGACATTTCTTATATATTACATGTTCTGTATACAGATGCATTCTAACATCTCACAGAAGAGAACACATATAGGCCTCCCCTGTTGTTCAATTTTATTTAATAAATGTAGTTTTAGTACAAAACAAAGCAACTTTTCAAGTACCTTGTAGTACTTAACAATTAAGAATTTTAGTTTCTCTCAATATAAACATTGTAGAACACTCTTCGTTTTATTTCAGGAACTGAATAACATTCAGAAATCCTCTTCTTCTTTGCTGAACTGTGAAAGGATTAAGAAAGTGTTTGAGGTAATGTTGATTCACTAAAATGATAAAGAATAATCTATTTTAGAATGACTTTTAGCAACAACAAAAAAAGACAGTTCTTCACAACTTTGTTTGACAATATTTTTTCTGAACACAGATAATCCTGCTTCTCGGAAATTACGCAAATACCAACAAATGCGGTTCCATCCACGGCTTCCACTTTTCCTGTCTGTCATCGGTAAGCCATAGTGTACATTGTTGTCATAATGATATTCTCGTCTTATCTAATAACAGCAAATATAAATGTTATCCTGCCGTCACGCAGAGGAAAAGTCTCTGTCTTGTTTAATGTTGCAGTCCAATACTGTATATAATTTAACGTAAACTAGAACCTACATGTATCAACAGTCTATTTGTTTCTTCCCCAGCTGAAAGACATGAAGTCAAGTGATAAGACACAGACTCTCGTCGATTTCATTGTAAGGATGATGGCCCGTAACCATCCGGATATTCTTCACTGGTACCAAGACATCGACCTGCTCCCCGTGGCTAAAGGTAAGGCTAAAAGGAATACTCCATAAAACTGCTCGAACCCCTTTGGGCATTTGCAAATGCATAATTTGAGCATATAATATTGCCTGCACTGAACGTAACCAATTCTAATTGTGTCCTTACATTTCCACTTTTACCTTTTTTCTAATGTTTAACCAAAGATTTTTTGTCAAGCAGGATATTCTATTCATGTATTTATACAGCTTGTTTATAAGGGTTGGGGCTTTGTTTTGATGTATGCTTTGATTTAAAATATGCTTAAGTGTACACATTTTGTTCCGACGTTGTCCTGTACAGGCTGTGGTTCATGTAAAATATGTACAGGTTTTATTCTTGCCTACGCGGAACACGTCTCACTGCCTACGTTGAACACAATCAATACCAAATGTCGAACATGTATACTTTATTATGTGCCACAGGTAGTTTTGCTCGCCTGACATCCCTGGTACAGGAGCTAGACGAGGGTATTCGGATGGTGGGCGACCACATGAACCAGACGTCTAGTGGTCATTCAGAACGATTGGCTGTATCCTTTGCTATTATATGATATACAAACCATCCAGATATTCTCTTTTTAAATTGTAAAAACAGTTTTCATATATGGATGCATACTGCGGACGTTGAAATAATTAGTAAAAAATTGAAACATGATTTATATCTTGATTGTCATTTAGTATATTTTTCTGATACCAATCATATTCAGCGATATTTCTCGTTGTGCGTGGTATAGAATTGTCGTATGATTAGTAAAAATTACTGAATGGGATTTAGATAAGGAAACGAAGAAGAGTTTTAAATAAATTACCGTTAATTGTTACAGTTGTTTCTTTGACTTAAAAACAGACTTTTTATGAAGAAGGCGAAGAGCGCATTTGGAAACTGAGGCGGTCATGCCAGCGTACACACACTGTCTACACACGTGCGTGTTCTACGTTTGGGGAGAATTCTGAAAATATTGAGCCTTCAGAACTGTTTGGACACTTTAAACAGTTTGTCAATGCGTATAAGGTATTGATTATTTCAAGTTTAATATGTTATGAAATCGTGCTTACTCATATATTGATAAGAACATTAATACGTAATGAAGTCTATCTACGATTTTTTTTATCTTAAAATCAATTTATCACTTTATTTTGTTTTTGTTTTTAATCTTTGTTGATTTACAACTATCTGTTCAGTAACTTATATGTTTGACACTGCAGTGGTTTTCTGTCTGTGACATAATAATATACTTAAGTTGCATACGTTTTAGGGATCGTTGACCAAACTGATGACAGAATCTCCATCTGAAGTAGTGAATCGCCCAGACCAATCGGAATATGCGCAGCCAGCAGTCGAGACCTCTTACGATTCGTCCACAGAGTATACTTCTCTACAGGTCATTAGAAAAACACCTACTATTGACTACGTCAATGCAGATCAACGGGAAGAATTTCCCGCCTATACCCACGACTTAGGGAGTGAGAGGACAGATGATTTGTCCTACTGCGATTTAGAAGTAGCTGAGGCGCTTAGAAACCATTGTGAATCGGAAACAGACGGACTGTTGTGTGACTGTTGTTTCAAGGAAACGGGAGAATGCGCGCTAGCCAATAACCAATACGGAAATTTTCCGACAAAAAGAAACAGTGCAGTGGAAAATTGGATTGTTTGTAATAATAAAGCCATGTTAGAGACTAGTTACAGGGCTGGTGACGAACTTCCCCTAGATTACGGTGATGACATCAACAACAATGTGCATGACGTACAACACAAAATAGATACTGAGAGCTATGACAGTGCATTTTTTGGGTCTGATGCGAACGTTTTGAAATCCTCGGGACGAAGTTCACAAGAAGATGTGCTAACACAACCTAGTATGCCTAGGTCTAGCACACCTTACACGTGCATGCGTACGGCAGATCCAATTCCCGACTACAGCCGATGCCCATCTCCTGCAGGGAGCTTCGCCAGTAAGGACACGTACAGCAGCGAGCTCTCCAAAATTCTCACTGAATTCGAAGGCAATCTGAACCAGTATGAATCCGAAGTTTCCCCGACCTATCGTCGGTTTTACACCGTGAAGTCCATTATCTACCTTTAGAGCAATCTGATATTGTTAGAATAAAGTTCGTGTTGTCGGGTATAGGCTCAGTGAACTACGCGCCATATTCGTAAGGTACCAGGGCCGTTTTGTGATCATCACATGCTGCTTTTCTTTCGATTTCGGGAGATTATGGACTTCTTTAGTTACACATATCTGAAAGCAGCAAGTAGCAGAAACATCATTCAAGACGACAGTCTTCAGCGATCAATTTTAGCAACAATTTTAAATGATTACTTGTACCACTTTAGTACCGGTCACTACCGTACCCAAGAACAACTCGTTCTTTGTGTATCAACTGAATCATGTCACCTATTTTCACAGGGAATATAGACCATGACAAATTTGTACATTTTAAGCAACCTTGTTAATTAATCAACCCTCCGTAAGTTTTAATAATATATCTTGAGGAAAATGTGTTCTGTTTAGGCCAACCAAGGTGATAAGGCAGTGATCCACACAACTATAACAGCGGCACAACCGTCAATCATATCAGTCATATTTATGTTGCCCTTCAACTTAACAAACGCATAAATTATTTCCCTTTGTTTTAGTAAAACTAAAGTAGACTGGTACTACTTACATTGTACAACATGGCAACAGCGTTCCAAGTCCAATCCCTGTTACAGTGCAATATTTTCTAGTTAGTCCTCAAACGTTAATGTGTAAATGTTGTGTGCAATAAACAATGTTGTGTGTAATAAACAATGTTGTGTGTGTGTAATAAACAATGTTGTGTGTAATAAGCAATGTTGTGTGTAATAAACAATGTTGTGTGGTTCCATGTTGTCAGATATAACAGTGTTAAACTCAATATCTAACCGGAATTGACATTAATACTAGGCCTATATCTTTGCATATTGCATACTTTGAATTCAATGGCAATTAACCGCTTAGAATACTCGAAATTTCATACAGGATAATTGAGGAAGTGTTTGGCTCATTTGTACAAAGAAATACAGGTACGAATTGTAATATATCTCTTACTTATTGTTAAATTAAATTTAATTGAGTGCTGACCTATAAATACAACATGGTGAGTCTGAGCCACCGTCTACAATTGATCTGAAATACGTCGGTCAAGAAAGCCATCATTAGAAATGTTATCACAATACATTTATCGCGGCCTGTTTTTAAGATTTCTAGGGTAAAGCAACCTCAACAACGTAAGTGTGTTAGTAAACATACACTATTAATTATAGTTGATTCTGTGCAAAATATGTATTATTTGTATAGGATATGCAAACGACAATAAAGATGGGAGTGTCAAACAGATATGTATATCAATAAGTGTGTAACATGTAACCTGCATATTGAAAAAGTTTTACACATCATTTTACTCTACTACTTCTACTAACATTTTTGACTGTAAACATTTGTCTACAAAAACACATTTTTTATTGCTTATATAAGACTTCCACTTATTAAATATAGGCTATAGATTTGCATATAGACGAATCGGTGAGAAAACTTTATTTGCATAAAGTAAAAACTGATTGCAGTTCATTTATTTTTGACCTTCAACTTTTATATGCAGGAAAATGTTACGCTGATGTAACATATCAATGTGTCCTACTTAAATGTTAAAGATTCTATTTTTTAAAAATGAAAAAACGTTAATAATAAGTTGCTGAGTATGTTAATATTTAACAATAACACGTCCATGACCTTCTCTTAAACGCAATACACTCCCATTCAGAATCAGTGTCAATGGAGTATATATTGTAATTATTCTGAACAATTTATCGTGTTGATATAATTTGCATGTTATGTTATGTTACAAATAATTAACAAATAAATTGCTAAACTGAGTTGTTTTATTCTTGTTTTATATATTACGATGTTTGTAATTTACACAAACGACACAGTATCCTACACTCCATCATGATTAATAACATCAAAACACTGTAATACAATTTCGGTACAAAAACCCGGTATAGATACAGTCATCTGACTGGGAGCCGATAATATCACTTATTTTATGTAGTTATTTGATTCAGAGTAAATATTAGGTGGTATACAGCTCTGACGCCATTACACACCTCTGTTTGTCCCATCTCTGCCCGACTTTGCTTTTCATTTGAATCATTCGCAATTCAAATTTGTATTGTTCTACAAACTTAATGCAATTTAGTGTATTGTCTGATAATTTTTCAAATGAATATTGATTTTCTTGATGTTTGTTTTCTACTGGCGAGATGGTTGTTCGTGTCTGCAAGGCTCCCCTTATAAGTTTAGTCTACGGGGACAACAGTTATTACAACATATGCAGGCCGCCAGAGCATCGAGCAAAGGACTCATAGATGTGAGGCTTACATTCATGTGATGTTATTTATAAAAATAATACCCCTACTTATTGAGACATAATCATGAACATTACAATTACCATCGAGTTAATTAAATAAAAACGTAAGCACATTACTATGTTTATGTATTTGGATAGAGTTTTGACAAAGACTATATATTTTCGATAGATTTAGAAAAAAAGTTCCTTCAAGGTCAAGGTTATAGGTTGACGGTAGTTTCACAACCCAGTCCAGATAAATATTTCTAATAACTCTTTTATTGTGAGTGCTGACCAATCATGCGTCGGAGGCCAGGAAATCGATGTCTGCCAATCAGTATTTCCTATCCATTAGTAGCCGTTACACCGTGGTAACTTTATTAACACCTCGAGATTTGATGCTATAAAGGACGTGACGAAGATGGCCCGCATGGTCAATCCGTCGTATGTCAAGTTCTATGTAAGCGACATCAATCCCTAATTTTATTTCAAACACAAACATACAATTATTTGGAACAAAACGACACGGTATTGCGTATAAAAGACATGTACACGCCTCTGAATAAAACACGCAAATCTAGACGACTCATACGCATACACATTATTAACTTCAACGTCTCTGGCCTTAAGCTGCTGATCGATCTCGGCAGTTTTACAACATAACGTGATAGAGGCTTAATGAGGACGACCCCGTGAAATCCACTGATCAAACGTTCATGTGATCACGATACTTGGTCAAACGGCCTCAATACTTTCATAGAATCGACCTTACAGCATGGCATTGGAGACGTCTTTTGTCTGATCTATAAAATATCGACAAGTAATACAAATGGTTGGATATAGAAAGTAATTCGACCAACCAACGTAATAACACACTGGTTCTTTGCCTATATTTGGTGGGTACTACCTCCTTTTTTGCTATTTGTATATAATTTGCCAATAGCTTAATATATAGGCACGGACTCGTTGTAGCTTATCGTAAAACATACACATAAAATCCATGTCTGCAATCAATTACGTAGTTGTCATATTGTTTTAAAAGATGAGTATTTGTGTTTCTCAGTTTAATAAACAGATGCCGCGGTATTGCTTTGACTGGCGTGTGTATTGTTGCCACTGTTACCTGAAGCTATCGATCAACTACGTCAATGAACACTAATTGGTTCTCGTTGGTCAGACGCTAACGGATATGGCGATGTGATTAAAAGGGCAACATTTTACTTGCAAAATATAGCTTTCTTGATGTTCGACAACATACTTTTTAAGAACAGGAATATTCCAATGGTGTGAATGGGTCGTTCATTAGTGGATTGTACGGTCGAACATGGCATACTGCGTTTCCGCAAGCTGCACGAGAGGTGTTTTGTATGGATTCGTTCTTGTAGCATTATGTAGCCGTAAGTATAATATACGTTACAAGCAACAGCTGGCCTTTCGTTGTACACATACAGTTTTCATTCTACATGTACAGAGTTTAAAGCATTATGTAAATACGCATCGATAGGTAACGAACAGTGAACCTCTGACAAAAGAGTATGACAAATGTAACCAGAACAGTGCCACTGATATTATACAACAAGTCTGTCACAGATGCACACAGTTTTACACTAAATCTCTATGTCCAACAAGTATGCACTTAATTAATCTATGTACCTTACATATGAACAAAGCAATAATCTGCAATTTTTCGGATCTATTACGAATAATTACTGGAATGATATTCAGAACACGCAAAACACTGTCGGTGAAACATTCCTGTTCACACGATACGGAATACATTAGGGAATCTCCTGTTCACCCTACAGGCATTTGGCGATAGCGCGTCGTGATTGAATCCCCTGCTCATGTATTCCTTTTTTATACATTGTACTTTTGTAAAGGGTCGCTTCCCACGCTGTTGTGTTATCTATAGCACATGTGAATAGACAGCAGCATGTTGTGATACATAGTACAGATATTATTTAAGTAAATCAAAGTCATATTGTGTATGGGTCGGTTGGTCGTGGGGTAAACATTGCGGCCTTCCACGCAGGCGGCCGGAGTTCGATCCCCGAAGTCGTCGTACGCATGGAATATTTAGAGGAATTGTTTTTCGCCAGCCGTCACAACTCCATCAACCCAGATGAGGTATGAAATGCTCAAGGGTGGATGTTGCGGTATATGTGCTGTAGCATTCAAGTGAGGTGGCACTATAAATGATACTGTTGGAAGCACGGTCAACTACAAACAGAACTCAATGCATCTCCAGTACACACGCAGGCATACATACATAAAGAGATATTAGACAGGTGGCATAGGACTAGTAGTTAAATGTAGCGCCTGATAAGGCAGCTCCTGCGAATTCCTCAAAATTGCATTGATTAATAGTATATGCTAATGGTATTGAATGTATAAATTGTATATCTATGTACTGCAAAACGCTTCAGGGTGGATAATTCTACCTAGGTTGGGCGCTATATCAAATGTTGTAGATTATTATTTTTGTTTGCCGTGTATCGCCTGGTGTCATGTAATGATCGGCACTGATACAAACAACCAAGCAATGCTTGTCTTCCGTGTATTGCCTGGTGCTATGTAATGATCAACACTGATACAAACAACCTAGAAATGTATGTCATTCATACATGTATCATTTATCATTATGGTTACAACAAGCAATGTATTAACGAGGGTAAAAGCTGTATGCATTTGTTTTCTTACATGTAGATTGATGCTCATTTTCAAACTATATGACTCAAACTATAAAAAAAAGTACTAGTAAACAATATGTCAAGTTCATTAAATACTCGACATTAGGTTCTGAGAACAAGACCATGTGTTTAGCTTTATCGACAACACCCGTCATGTTTATCTAACTAAAATCCAAGAGGGACATGAACAAGCATAATGAAATAATCGGCCTTCAATTCATTCAAAGAAATAGCATATTTCGCCAAGTCCATGATAGTGACTGTAAAATTGCCCGTGGTCTTCATCCATCTGCATCTTTAGAACCCCGTGTTTTAAGTTTGTCCATTACCAGTCGACATCTATCACGGAAATCATGACATTAGGATCAAGTTCTTTAATATCAAAGCAACTGCGACATAGTAACTCCATAAGTTTGGTAAAAAAAGGAATGTTCTATCGAGAAAGGTAAAAATCCACAATCGGAAAATCCAAATTGTCACCCTTATCGTACAACTTGGTAGTACAGGGAACCTGTTGATTTAGTTTTAAGTAAAACTTCTGTTCTATAAAACGTACTATTTGTATTTCAATATATTGTCAAAAAACATTGAATAAAACCAAGTTTAAACCAAAAAATAAGAAAAACCAGCTGATATAGACGTGTCCATAGTGACCCCGATTTCAATTTCAGGAGGGTATTTACAATTGACATAGCCAATAGAAGTTAATGCAAGAACCAATAAGAATGTCACAAGAGACGGTAAACAGTGGTAATTTCTACCTCCACGTCCGTTGTCTCACATAGGATATTTCGACCAGGGTTTGAAACCCTCTCGGCTTAGTTCCGGTCACAAAAGTGTGCGAAGTGAACAATTCAAATGCTTTCCTTTGCAAATAGCAACTCAATTTAAGGGAAAATTCTAATCCATAAACACGAATATTTATTGTTGAGATCCTGTGTAATTTAGACATGACTCACTTTTGTTCTCCATCAAAACCAAACGTTCAGAAAAACAATTAACGAACATAAAACAATATTCCTACGTCACCGAGTCCTGATGTCACGATTAATAGCAATGTGTTTCAGCTAAAGATTAACATACGCGTACGCTGTAAATAAATGCCAAATAGAGGTAACAGATTATCACACAAAGACTGAAATCAACCAATAGAGCTGACAATCACGTATGCAATTCTCTTTCACGTACCTTAATTAAACCCATTAACTAAGATAGACTGTATCTAAACAACCGGAAGAAATAAAGTGTAACAAGATTAACCAATGAGATGGAGTATTACAAAAATAATTGTTTTCACTTTATTTACATTAAAACCGAAAAATACTGTGTCATAGAGGAAAGAAGGTCGGATTTAAGGTCAATTTTTGGTGTAGTAACAGATAATTTAAGTGTCTGTCCTTTAATCAATGTCATAGATATACAGTTTGAATAGTAATATTCTCATGAACATCACATTTTGTTTTTCATTTTTCCCAAAGGAGTCATCTTAATACAAAATGTAACGAAGAATAGCACAGTCAGTGAAACCAGTACACCAGATGGCATGCACTTTCGAATTTACCTGCAAGGTGTATTTTTCAGTTTCTGGAGGCATAAACAATAACGTTTTTACCAAACGAATTGTGTGTTACCATGAAGTTTAATTTACCCATATAGGGACTTGCCTGATTACAACAGAGCAATACATATAATATGATATAGTCTGTGTTTTAGAACTTTACAAATTGGTTTTACTCTGTGATGTACCTTTACCTTTACAGAGCGAATCCACTCCCTCAATTTGACGTGTTACACGTGCACGGCTACGGTGCCAAGTGACCCTTGTGTCCATTCACCCAACCAATCAGAGGTGGTCATGTGTGCTGATGATAAACCATTCTGTCGTGTAAGTCATTCAATAGATTCCATGGCTTTTTGTTTCAACCCATTGAAATATATTATTATATTCTAGATTTACCTCTACTAGACATACCTCATAAATTCCCTGTCCACTACTTGTTGTTTAGCTTCCCTGTTCTATTGCTTTCTGTGTTTCGAAAATGTCTGGATATCATGTAAACTGAAATTCAGCTGCCTATAAAGATAAGCAAATGTACTTTTCCATGAAAGTGATAAAATGAGGGCATTATGGATATGTTGCATTTAAATTATATAATGCTCTACCACTACGACAGCCATAAACAATTTCGAAAGAAGGGGAGATAATTTCATGCGAAGGAAACTATACAATAAACACTTAGACACAGAGCTTTGTCTGTTACAGGTGTTACGTGTGGATTCCCAGTACGGGGACCTCATGAGCTTTGCCCGGGGGTGCTCCTCCGTGTGTAAGAACCACTGTGGTATCTGGGGAGACGATGTGGATGAGGAGAGATGTCACTCCTGCTGTCGTACCCAACTGTGTAATGTAGGTAATGGATATGTGAGGCCTTACACACTGTCCGGCGATCTTCTGACAATAACACTGGCCATGGTCTACATTGTACAACTGAACTGACGGACCGAATGGATGGTGGTTAACTGGTAATAATACTGCGCATAATTTACATTCAACATCGGAGCTGAGAGACAGCACAAATTTACCTTTTAATTGATATTTATCTTCGATGATAGTGATAACTTGGAAAAAGCACTCACCATGATCTTCATTTTATATTGGAAATGAGGGGTCAAACAGACTAAGAGTTTAACAATGTATGTCGTTATGTGACCATCGTGTAAATACGTTTTACTTTTGAAACATCATTCCTTTTTTAAACAATTTTAAGCATGTCAGTGACTTGAATGCAATTTCATATGATTAAAGGTACTGTATGTTTTCACTGTGAATATGCACACAGCTGCTACACAAGAACTATAACCAAACAGTGAATGACAATATCAGAGCCACAGGCTGTAATCGCTAAATCTTCCATCGATTATGTCAACACTCAACTAGTAAGCTACCTGCAATGAAAAATGAAGAGCTATGTCGATAACGCCAAATAACGATTCGTATTTCAAAACAATATGGCGAGTAATACCTTGTGAAAAATAGCAAATGATAACTGAGGTTGAGAAGCAAAAAGACTAAAGTGTCCCCCGTCTTTCTTTCACTTTTCAAAAGAAAACCTTTATCTTAAAAGAACTGAGCGTATAATATTTCACTTATATATATAACACTTCAAAACATCGATTAGATTTGTGTTTCACTGAATAAAACCTCATTTGAGGTTTAGGAAAATGACGCCAAACTCTATGAATTACGTGTTTAGACCTTTCGAATCAGTTGCATTAATCACAAATGAAATGTCAACGAATGGACTATTTTGAAAACTTTGTTATTCTTCCCTGTGTCATCACCTGATACCTTATTTTGAGATGAACGCCATGACGTCTGAGATTCAAATTTACTCATTAGTTATTTTGCTATCTATGTCATACCTGAAATATATTGGGCAGGTGATTTCGTATAAGGTGGCAAGTATCTACAATTAATACATCTCATTTTCTCACTTGGACAGACACATCAGCATGACAGCCATTTTGTCATTTTTGTTTTGGAAGGTATTTATCTGTGATACATTTGAGTCATAAGAATCGTTTATTTAACAATTTAGTCACATAGTTAATTTACCAATGAAGCAAATACATTTTTAACACTTTTGTAACATATTTTCTTTGGCGTTGTCTTTTTCAAAGCTTCGGTGCCATATCAATTATCCATATCGTTACGTCAATATACAATGTAACAAACAATTACAATGGCATAGCTACTAGATATAATTTTTAATTTTTAATCACATACGCAAGACTGTATTTGATATGCAAATCACTTAGTAAAATCTCGATGGTAAAATTTGAACTTAACCAACAGGGTGTCCACTTGAAACATCACAAGACAATTTCAAAATAAAGTACGATGAAATGACGCCAAATGTTTTGAAAATACTTGATATTTTAAATGTTCCCTTGGAAATACGTACTACAATGGCGTGCGGACTCCATTGAACCAGTGGAATCCAATGAACGGTGTAGTAATTGACTGGATATTGGTAATTGATGAACATTGTTCTACTAGAAGGGATTCAATGGAAGGTAATGACATATTTTTCCATACTCATTCTCTTTACATAATATCGTTGAATAGATAAAATAGTCCCTGCTAATCGGAATGAGATTCCTAATTGCTTTTTCCCCTATTATCAAGCTAATGAAAAAAGGGAAGGTCTAACTTTAACAAGATCCCAATCCTAAATGATTCGATTAATCCAATACTAGGGGAATATGACCAAAGGAAACATTTCCACATACACTCATACGGAAGAACACGCAATGGTGTTCTGGAAGAGAAGGCATCACCTGCTCCATCAACAACATCGGCTGTGTTAATATACGTCAAATCCAAACAACGGTAGGTCCTCAGCACGATATCTGGGGAGGTGACAACGATAGCATAAAATACTTAGATGAGAACAACTAAAACGTCGATACTCATATCGGGTAGTAAAATGGAATATTTCTCTGTGATTGTGACCATAAACCCCCATATTTTTCATCTCACGTAATAATGTTTTTTAAATTTGGTCATCAACATTCGACATCTATCACAGAAATAGTAATACTCATATAAAACCCGTGAACAGCGAACTTAATATTACACAAGGTATTGAAGAATAATATGAGAAACATGGCCGATATGTTCAGGTATAGTGATGATGACACCATAGCTAAAGATCTTGACCTTTACATGACCACGACCAGTTTCAATGAACAATTTAGTTTCACGATCATGAATATACCGTTTTTCAGTAGTTATACTCTACAGTATCCTTCCCTGACTATTTTACAATTTCACAGTTACCTTTTTCAGTAGTTATACTCTACAGTATCCTTCCCTGACTATTTTACAATTTCACAGTTACCTTTTTCAGTAGTTATACTCTACAGTATCCTTCCCTGACTATTTTACAATTTCACAGTTACCTTTTTCAGTAGTTATACTCTACAGTATCCTTCCCTGACTATTTTACAATTTCACAGTTACCTTTTTCAGTAGTTATACTCTACAGTATCCTTCCCTGACTATTTTACAATTTCACAGTTACCTTTTTCAGTAGTTATACTCTACAGTATCCTTCCCTGACTATTTTACAATTTCACAGTTACCTGTTTTAGTAGTTATACTCTACACTATCCTTCCCTGATTATTTTACAATTCCATGATTCTGTTCTAATTATCAGGAGAGATTGGAACGTTCTGTTGACCAATAGACGTCTAATTAAAGGATTTCTGACAAAAGAGATCGTTTGGGTTCTTCTACTGACCAATTAACTCTGTGTGACCAAACATTTTGATTGCAGTGCAGCAGTACTTAAATACTTGGTAAGATTTGAGAAAATAAACCAAAGACTTGTTATCAACTATGAACCCATCCAAAGATGGCATGCCGTACTATGTTAGGTAAGCGTTACAGAAATGTTCAAAATCAAATTAAAAAAGTTGCATCTTGAAAATGTGTAATGACCGAGTTTATGAATTCATATAGCATTTTTGAATTGCATTCTTTGTTTCTTAATGCAATAAATCGCATTAATAACGTTGGTATGCAAGAACAAAGAGTACTTTTTATGAAAGAGCAATTGTCAATACATCACTTATTTAACAATTTGTCTAAAACCAAGAAAAGTACAACGCAGATAAATATTATCAAAATGTTCTGACCGCAGGTATTGGACATACATGCATCTCAGGTAGGCTATGTGATCCTTTAGATAATGTAACTTATATATCAAATATGTACTAGGTCACAATAAATAGTTCCATGATTCACTTTTTAATGGATATGTGTATGTCACCCTTCATCACACTCTATACACTTATATCACATCAAACCATTTAACGAGGGATACATAATTGATTACAGATTGAAAAATAATTGTTTAGGTCTTGGGTTTTTCAAAGAAAACGTGCACTGATGAACTTAGAAAAATAACACCATTAATTTCTCTTGGCCTTGTTTTGCGAATCTAAGACATTGGCCTGCTTTTCCTGTAGATAATTACCTATTTACGTCCTTATGGATTTAAAGACTTATAAACGAAATATAATCTGAACTATATCTACAAAATAATCACATGGGAACAGCGTTACTGTGAATATAGCTACAGATCGATACAACATAATGTGAAACATACACCGGTATACTGTATCCATGACAACACACTCCTAGTGGATGACGTCAGGTTGTGTGATTAGTCAATAACCATGCCAACACATGTTGTGTGCAGTATAAGTGATTAATCAATAACCATGACAACACACTCCTGTTGAACGACAACATATTGTATGAGTCAATGACAACACACGTTAAGTACCAAATAAATTATATGACAACACATGTTGTGTGTCATGCACATGGTCAGTTATAGTGTATAACCATGACAACACAAGTACTTCACTGGAATGACGATAAATAATAACACGTGTGTAAATTCAATACTATACACAGCCACCAGCATCGTTGGAAACCAGGAATCAAACTCTCTATTACCTTAACGACGCCTGACTGATTGTTTTGTATCAGCCCGAGGGCCGAAGGCTGATATTGGTCGAGGGTTGATACTGGGTGTGATATGAGAAAAGGCATATTTTATTCTGTTTACTAATAATGTTCTTTTGAAGGATGGGAACAATTGTAACGAAGTGTTTCAAAAGGGGTGTGATACGGGTTTTGCGGGCTGATACGGAGAGGGTTGATAAGGGTTTTGGGTTGTGATACGGCGAAGGCTGATATGGGTTAGAGAAATTGAGTCGTATAGCTTATACAAAACAAACGTATTCATTAGTGAGAATGTAATAAAAAAAAAAAAATTAACGAGAACCCAATAATTATTCTAGGTAAATAGTATAATTGCACAATATACAGTATGATTAAACGATGTAGAGTATGTCTACATGGTTGGCTTGACATTTAAACGATTTTAAATGTGACTACAAGTGTCACTGTATGATTACACCATGTACAGTATGAAAACACGATGTACAGTATGACATCCCGATGTACAGTATGACAACATGATATAGAGTATAACAACACGATGTACAGTATAACAACACGATGTGCAGTGTGACAACACGATGTACAATATGACTACACGATGTACAGTATGACTACACGATTCACAGTATGGATACACGATTCACAGTATGGATACACGATTCATAGTATGACTACACGATATATAGATAGTATGACAACACGATGCACAGTATGACAACATGATATACAGTATGACAACACGTTGTACAGTATGACAACATGATGTACAGTATGACTACACCATATACAGTATGACTACACCATATATAGTATGACAACACGATGTACAGTATGACAACATGATGTACAGTATGACTAAACGATATACAATATGACTACATGATATACAGTATGACTACACTATTCACAGTATGAATACACGATGTACAGTATGAATACACGATTCAACGTATGAATACATGATTTACAGTATGAATACATGATGTACAGTATGACTAAACGATGTACAGTATGACTACACAATATACAGTATGACTAAACGATTTTCAGTATGACTACACGATATACAATATGACTACATGATATACAGTATGACTACACGATTCACAGTATGAATACACGATGTACAGTATGAATACACGATGTAAAGTATGACGACACGATTCACAGTATGAATACACGATGTACAGTATGACTACACGATGTACAGTATGACAACATGATATACAGTATGACTACACGATTCACAGAATGAATACACGATGTACAGTATGAATACACGATTCACAGTATGAATACACGATGTACAGTATGAATACACGATTCACAGTATGAATACACGATGTACAGTATGACTACACGATGTACAGTATGACAACATGATATACAGTATGACAACACGTTGTACCGTATGACTACATGATATATTGAATGACAACACGATGTACAGTATGACAACATGATATATAGTATGACTATATGATGTACAGTATGACTAAACGATAAACAATATGACTCCATGATATACAGTATGACTACACGATGTACAATATGACTACACGATGTACAGTATAACTACACGATTCACAGTATGAATACACGATTCACAGTATGGATACACGATTCACAGTATGACTACACGATTTATAGTATGACAACACGATGTACAGTATGACAACATGATATACAATATGACAACACGTTGTACAGTATGACAACATGATGTACAGTATAACTAAACGATGTACAGTATGACTACACGATATATAGTATGACAACACGATGTACAGTATGACTACACGATGTACAGTATGACTACACGATATACAGTAAGACTACACGATGTATAGTATGACTACACGATTCACAGTATGAATACATGATTTACAGTATGAATACATGATGCACAGTATGACTACACGATATACAGTATGACTACACCATATATAGTATGACAACACGATGTACAGTATTACTACACGATATATAGTATGACAACACGATGTACAGTTTGACAACATGATATACAGTATGAATACACGATTCACAGAATGAATACACGATGTACAGTATGAATACACGATTCACAGTATGAATACACGATGTACAGTATGACTACACGATGCACAGTATGACTACACGATATACAGTATGACTACACGATGTACAGTATGACTGCACAATATACAATATGACTACATGATATACAGTATGACTACACGATATACAATATGACTACATGATATACAGTATGACTACACGATTCACAGTATGAATACACGATGTACAGTATGAATACACGATTCATAGTATGAAAACATGATTTACAGTATGAATACATGATGTACAGTATGAATACACAATGTACAGTATGAATACTCGATGTAGAGTATGGCTACACGATTCACAGTATGAATATACGATGTAGAGTATGAATACATGATAAACAGTATGAATACATGATGGTCAGTATGACTACACGATGTACTGTATGACTACACGATTCACAGTGTGAATACACGATGTACAGTATAACAACACGATGTACAGTATGACTACACGATTCACAGAATGAATACATGATGTACAATACCACTACACGATGTACAGTATGACTACACAATATATTTTATAATAACACGATGTACAGTATGACTACACGATGTTCAGTCTGATTACACGATGTACAATATCACTACACGATGTACAGTATGACTACACGATGTACAGGATGACTACATGATGTACAATTCCACTACACGATGTACAGTATGACTACACAATATATTTTATAATAACACGATGTACAGTATGACTACACGCTGTTCAGTATGATTACACGATGTACAATATCACTACACGTTGTACAATATGACTACACGATGTACAGGATGACTACATGATGTACAATTCCACTACACGATGTGCAGTATGACTACACAATATATTTTATAATAACACAATGTACAGTATGACTACACGATGTTCAGTATGATTACACGATGTACAATATCACTACACGTTGTACAGTATGACTACACGATGTACAGGATGACTACATGATGTATAATACCACTACACGATGTACAGTATGACTACACAATATATTTTATAATAACACGATGTACATTATGACTACACGATATACAGTATCACTACACGATGTACAGTATGACTACACAATATATTTTATAATAACACGATGTACAGTATGACTACACGATGTACAGTATCACTACACGATATATTTTATAATAACACGATGTTCAGCTCCAAATTTAGTTTAATAAGACGATGTACAATATCATATCACATATGATACAGTTTGATTACCCTATTTACAGTATAAGTATACGATGTTCAGTATGAGTATACCATATACAGTATAATTACAAGTTGCTTTGTCCCCTTTAGCGTCGTTCGATACCGAGGTGCTAAACTGCAGTTATCGTGTTTAGCTAATGCTGACCTTATTTGTACTCCGAATCCGATCAAATGTGATTTGTACAATACTAGTACTCGAAGAAAACCTTATCAGAAACAACAATCAACACTTTCCACTGGAATGTTATTGTAACACCAAATTGTTCTTTAGTGTAGAGAAGTCATTGGAAATGGATCATGTGACGTCTAAATATTCATAACTAAGCAGTATTTACTGCTTGTCGTCATCATTATAAAGCGTCGACATGAAAGAGGCATGAAAGACGATGACAAACGTCTTTTTGATACGGATGTGGCCATTGATCGTGTTCGGAAGACCAATGTCTATCAGTATCTATTTGTGTAGTGTAACCAATCTGCTGTTTGGGATTTCAGGTATGTATGTCTAATTAACAGTAGATTTCTAGCGTATATATCTTATACATGTGTCAAGAAGATATCAGTCGTGTATGGAAAAGCAACTTATATAATGGTAATATATGTTTTCATATTGCCCCCCATAGTAGTGGCAAGTAGTAGTAGCATGTTTGACATAATTCAAGCCTGTATGATATCGCAACATTTGTTTTCTATTATTAAATCTTTGCAGGAGCAAATACCGAAATACGTTTATGGCTTGTACATTGACACTTTACTTTACAATATATAACGGATATTGTTCTTATTTACATAATCCAAATTAGATCAGTACGATATGGCAGTTTGTGTATTACTAAGATCTAAAGGTATCAGCTGCTGAAACCAGTGATATTTTCGTACCTGTTATTTGTACATGTACCTACAAGATAAATACTACAGTATTCAGGTGAGATATTTGTCATACAAAATGTAGAATTGTATTATTTTTCATTTTCATTGTTTTGACGACAATTATGTGTTAACTCACTATGACTACAGCTGTGTAGTCAATTTATTACAGAAAAGTAACCAGGTGAGAGTCATTGATGATATGAAGAGATTTTTAAGTTAAAAGATGTATAATCGGAAAGCGAGAAATTAAAAAGACTATTCGTTACTTTTAAAACTTGATTAATTACGTTTAACTTACGTGAATACCACGGCCAAAATCGACAAATGCATTGGTGTCTTTAATATTGGATTTCTTCTGGAGGCACAATGCATAAAATCATCTAAATTGATTATTAATAGAAATAATTACCAAGGCGCAGTGAAGTAATCACGATGGAGAAACAATACAAGCTGACAATTCAGTATATTGTTTTTAAATGATTTCTGGTATTCAAATACGAACGAAAGCCAGTTCCACCAGTATTCCAATTTCCCTTCTGTGTTTGCCAACATGTCCCCGGCTTAAGTCTACCATACGTTTGACAATGAATAATTGATGTTGTCGTGTCTTTCGCCGTCGGGGTGATCGTTTTAGTATCGACACACAGCCAAGGCTAATCTGACGACAGTGTCTGAAAATACTCTGATATTTCAGTTCATAATTCACAAATAAATAGGTGCTCACAACATAACTGTTCAAAATGTCCCCTAGAATGATAACATTGTCTCCTCAAATTTCAGTCCTCTGATAAATCATATTTATTTTTTATTTATTTATATAAGTTTTAGATGTGATCGGAACAACCGAATTTGTTTTTAGTTATAAAATTGACACATAACGAATTCATTTTAGTCAATAATAAGGCATAGAGGATGATGCCTTTATAGGAAGTTGATAGTATACACGTGGGCTGTCAGAATTGTTTGTAACCTAAACGCTACCATGAGACAATGTTCAGTCTTTAATCAATACTTGTCAAGAATATAAAGTTTGGGGTTGCCATATCGTCATTCTAAGGATTGTTAGTAGATAGCGATTTATCCCACCCTTCACACGTGTGTCTCCCATTTTAGCCGGGAAAGATCAGCTTGCCACCCCCTAGGGGGAGATAGCCTCGTGCCGATTAGCACGTGTTCAATTGTGACGTCATTAAAATGCGTCATCGGCAATTGTGACGTCATCAAAAGTGAATGACGATATGCATACCCCACATGTGTTTTTGTTTACAGGTTTTGTTGGCAAACTACAGTCGGTGGAGCTGTGACTGAAATAATAGGATGGGAGAGAAAGAATCATTCCCTACCTTGAGGGTGTAACAGAGAAATCTCCAACCCTCGGGGTGATTTTTTTGGTTGTCTAAACCTCGGCAGAGCCTTGGGTTAGACAACCAAAAAACATCACCCCTCGAGTTGGGGATTTCTCTATCACACCTTCGGGGTAGGGGAAGATTCTATTAATCAATGTTTCTGTGTGTACTCATGTATGACAATATTAGTTGTGTAGTCATTGACAACATTACTGAGGTGTGCAACCATTGGTCACAAGGAGAAAAATGAAAGTCAGTAGTCCGGAAAGCCTTTAAAGGTTTATATTCATTGCTGACAACACTAAGGCTCTGTACAGGTTCACATACACATCCAGCAAAATCCCAACGTGTGATGTTTCGATGACTAGTACAATATGACCTTGGTCATCTTCAAATGACTGGTAAAGCATATGTACACAAAGGCGTAAAGATGCCAAAGATATACTATAGCTAGTTGCCGTCGATTTGACTACGATATAAGCGTATACATACATATGGTGGCATATTTCTGCCATCCACTTGCGACTTACGAGTTACGTATGTCGACATAATTATTGAAAGATGTCGACATAATCTGAGAATATGTCGACATAATCTGAGAAGATGTCGACATAACTGTTAAATTATGTCGACATATTATCACATTTGCCGAGATAATTTTGCCGAGATAATTATCTCGTAAGTGGGTAACTCGGCTTTTTATCGTGTTAATGCTCGGGTGTGACATCGACTTGCCACTTACGACTTGCCACTTACGACTTATTTATGTCGACATCCTAGTAGATTATTGCCGACTTACCAAAACGAGGCTTGTGCACGAGGACCGCGAAGGTGGGCTGATGGTGACTGAACAGTGGTGACTATACTGGTGAGTAACTTGGTAAAATCAATGTAAATATGGGAAATCAAAGATATGGATATTACAGTAGGTTACTATGATGTACAGAGTTTATCAATCAAAGAGGGATTTTACATAAATAAGTCGTAAGTGGCAAGTCGTAAGTCGATGTCACACCCGAGCATTAACACGATAAAAAGCCGAGTTACCCACTTACGAGATAATTATCTCGGCAAAATTATCTCGGCAAATGTGATAATATGTCGACATAATTTAACAGTTATGTCGACATCTTCTCAGATTATGTCGACATATTCTCAGATTATGTCGACATCTTTCAATAATTATGTCGACATACGTAACTCGTAAGTCGCAAGTGGATGGCAGAAATATGCCACCATACATACATCATTGATATAAATGTCCATATCGTACTTACATGTATCATCAACACCTCACTCATTAACATCCTACCGGTGTAAGTCAATGATTCTGTATGCTTTCTATTCTAAGCAACCTGAAGTAACAGTTATGAAACGATACCAAAATGTGTAGTGGTTGATGCAAGATTTGTCATCATTGATAACAACACTAAAGTATGGAGACATTATGACATTACCGGATTTGGGGTTATTTATTTAAGAAAAAACATTCCAACAGCGAAAAGCTAATCAGAATATTAGTTACATTGTAGTGTTAGAACCAGATACAATTAGTATAACATTTCGGGAATGGTCATGTAGATGGTGATACCGCACCCGCCCATCACAAAGAGGTAGTGTGTTACCAACCACCAACCCGACCACGTGGGTCACTTTTGAACGGATTTGTCCGAGCCACCACAACAGTGATAAAATATAAGTGTAAAAACAGCTATTTCCTAATTATTGCCAAATAAATAAGGCATAAATTTACACGAAAAACAATGAAAAGTATACAAATTTGTGACAGGAGATGTATGCAAACCTACCGTACTGACCTTTCCACTTTCACTAGATCTCGGAATTCTTTATAGAAGAGAATTGAATAAAATTGACAAAATTGACAAAAAACAACATTATGAAGGTTTATTGAAAAGGCCACAATGAATTAAACAAAATTTAGAATAAATCATACAAACTGCCTGTTCAGTGGTATAGAGAGTTTTAAAGCATTGCTTTATAATAACACCAGAATATAAAACTAAAATCTTACATGTTTTGCCAACACGTCACCGGTTTAAGTCTACAACATACGTTTGCCAATAAATTATTGATGTCGTCGTTGGTTTGCCGTAGGGGGTCATCTACAAAATGTATATTGCATCCTCACGCAGCCGGAGTTAACCTAACGAAAGTGTCTGGGTTTTTTGTTCGTTCAACGATAATTCTGTTCTTAAACAGCAATTGCGTGGGAACATTATCTGCAGTGGAAACAGAATATCAAAACTGAACAAATAATTAGATGATAAGTCACAAAAACGATAGTTAGTGTGCAATCATTGATGACAAAACTATGGCTGTTGTAATTGATGACATTACTAGCTCTGTTGTTATTATTGTCATTACTAGCGCTGTAGTAATTGATGACATTTCCTGGTCTGTATTAATTAATGACATTTCCTGGTCTGTATTAATTAATGACATTACTTGGTCTGCAGTAATTGATGACATTACTAGGTTTATAGCTATTAATGACATTGCTTGGTCTGTAATAATTGATGGTATTACTAGGTGTGTTATTAAGTGATGACATTACTTGGTCGGTAGTAATTGATGACATTGCTAGGTGTCTTGATATTGATGGCATTACTTGGTGTGTAATAATTGATGACATTGCTAGGTTTATAGTTATTAATGACACTGCTTGGTCTGTAATAATTGATGACATTGCTAGGTTTATAGTTATTAATGACATTGCTTGGCATGGAGTAATTGATGGTATTACTAGGTGTGTTATTAAGTGATGACATTACTTGGTCGATAGTAATTGATGACATTGCTAGGTTTATAGTTATTGATGACACTGCTTGGTCTGTAATAATTGATGACATAACTAGGTTTAAAGTTATTGATGACATTGCTTCAATTGTGACGTCATCAGGGGTGTATAGGTGTGTTATTAAGTGATGACATTACTTGGTCGGTAGTAATTGATGACATTGCTTGGTGTGTAGTAATTGATGACATTTCTTGGTGTGTAGTAATTGATGACATTACTTGGTGTGTAGTAATTGATGACATTACTTGGTCGGTAGTAATTGATGACATTGCTAGGTGCCTTGATATTGATGGCATAACTTGGTGTGTATTTATTGATGACATTACTTGGTTTGCATTAATTGATGATATTAATAGGAATATAGTTATTAGTGACATTAATGGGTACCTTGTAGTTGATGACATTACTTGGTCTGTAGTAATTGATGACATTACTTGGTCTGTAGTAATTGATGACATTACTTGGTATGAAGCAATTGGTGATATTACTAGGTGTGTTATTATTGTTGACATTACTTGGTCGGTAGAAACGGATGACATTGCTAGGTGCCTTGATATTGATGGCATTACTTGGTGTATATTAATTGATGACATTACTTGGTCTGTAGTAATTGATGAAATAACTAGGTCTGTAGTTATTATTATCATAACTAGGTCTGTAGTGATTCATGACATTACGAGATGTGTATTAATTGATGACATTACTTGTAGTGTAGCAACTGATGACATTACTTGGTGTGTATTTATTGATGGCATTACTTAATTTGTTATTATTAATGGCATTCCTAGGTCTGAAGTAATTGATGACATTATTTTTTCTGTAGTTACTGATGACATTACTTGGTAGGTGTTAATTGATGACATTACTTGGTGTGTATTAATTGATGACATCACTTGGTGTATAGAAACTAATGAAATGACTTGGTGTGTAGTAATTGATGACATTACTTGTTGTGAAGTAATTGATGACATTAATGGGTGTCTTGTAATTGATGACATTACCTGTAGTGTATTAATTGATGACATTACTTGGTGTGTATTAATTTATGACATTACTTGGTCTGTAGTAATTGATGACATTACTAGGTATATAGTTATTGATGACATTAATGGGTGTCTTGTAATTAATGACATTACCAGTAGTGTATTAATTGATGACATTGCTAGTTGCCTTGATATTGATGGCATTATTGGTATGTATTAATTGATGACATTACTTGGTCTGTAGTAATTGATGAAATAACTAGGCCTGTAGTTTTTATTATCATAACTAGACGTGTATTGATTGATGACATTACTTGTAGTGTAGTAACTGATGACATTACTTGGTATGTAGTTATTGATGGTATTACTTAATCTGTTATAATTGAAGACATTCCTGGGTCTTAAGTAATTGATGACATTACTTCGTATGTGTTACTTGATAACATTACTTGGTATGTGTTAATTGTTGACATTTCTAGGTATATGTTAATTGATGACATTACTTGTTGTGTAGTAATTGATGACAAACTAGGAGTATAGTAATTGATGGCATAAACTGATGTGTAGTAATTGATGACATTACTAGGTATACAGTAATTGATGACATTAATGGGTGTCCTGTAATTGATGACATTACTTGTAGTGTAACAATTGATGACATTACTTGATGTGTATTAATTAATGACATTACTTGGTCTGTAGTAATTGATGACATTACTAGGTATATAGTTATTGATGACATTGCTTGGTCTGTAGTAAATGATGACATTGCTAGGTCTGTAATAATTGAAAATACTAATACGTTGTGTAGTAACACATTTCCATCATAAGGTGAGTAGACGTTAATGCTTATGACGAAAAGGAAGCCTACTCGTCGATGTCCACAGGTATGGAAAGTAGTAATTCTATAGAGGGTTCTGACTCTGGGAGCTCCACTCAAAATACACAACAACAACAAACTTGTTGTGACCCACTTACCACGGGTACCCCTACCCCCTGCCTCAGAAAATATCCTGCTAAAATTAAAATGAATGGTCTGTTTTGTAACACGACAGTATTAAATGGAATTTGTCTTTTGTTGGAAAAAATTAACAAACTGCTGTAATATGTATCATGATTACTGTTTTGTGAACTTGCCATCCATGTTGTCATCACATGTGTATTATTATACTCTGATACCTCATGTTGTACATTTTAATGTATCTGAGGAAAACCAATAAACTTGTACACTTGGTGTGTATTAATTGAGGACATTACTTGGTCTGTAGAACTGATGAAATGACTTGGTGAGTAATCATTGTTGACATCACTTGGTCGGTAGTAATTGATGACATAAATAGGTGCCTTGATATTGATGACATTTCTTTATGTGTATTAATTGGTGAAATTACTTGGTGTGTAGTAATTGATGATATTACTTGGTGTGTAGTAATTGATGACATTACTTGGTGTGTAGTAATTGATGACATGACTTGGTGTGTAGTAATTGATGACATTACTTGGTGTGAAGTAATTGATGACATTACTTGGTGTGTAGTAATTGATGACATTACTTGGTGTGTAGTAATTGATGACATGACTTTGTCCGTAATAAATGATAACATTAGTAGGTCTGGAGTGAATGTTGATATCACTAGGTCTGTAGTAATTGATGACATTATTTGTCCGTAATTAATTATGACATTAGTAGGTCTGTAGTAATTCATGACATTCCTAGGTCTGTAGTTACCTTAATTTGTTATTATTAATGGCATTCCTAGGTCTGAAGTAATTGATGACATTACCTGGTGTGTAGTAATTGATGACACGACTTTGTCCGTAATAAATGATAACATTAGAAGGCCTGGAGTGAATGTTGATATTACTAGGACTGTAGTAATTGATGACATTGCTTGGTCTGTAGTAAATGATGACATTGCTAGGTCTGTAGTAATTCATGACATTGATTGGTATGTAGTAATTGATGACATTTCTTGGTGTGAAGTAATTGATGACATGACTTGGTGTGAAGTAATTGATGACATTACCTGGTGTGTAGTAATTGATGATATGACTTGGTGGGTAGTAATTGATGACATGACTTTGTCCGTAATAAATGATAACATTAGAAGGCCTGGAGTGAATGTTGATATTACTAGGTCTGTGGTAATTGATGACATTATTTGGTGTGAAGTAATTGATGACATGACTTTGTCCGTAATAAATGATAACATTAGAAGGCCTGGAGTGAATGTTGATATTACTAGGTCTGTGGTAATTGATGACATTATTTGTCCGTAATTAATTATGACATTAGTAGGTCTGTAGTAATTCATGACATTGATTGGTCTGTAGTTATTCATGACATTGCTAGGCATGTAGTAATTAATGGCATTGCTAGGTCTGTAATAACTGAAAATACTAATACGTTGTGTAGTAACACATTTCCATCATAAGGTGAGTAGACGTTAATGCTTATGACAAAAAGGAAGCCTACTCGTCGATGTCATCATTGACATGTTATCATTGATGACATGGCTGGAAAAAAAGACAAAACAAATAAATATAATTATTAATCAAAAATAAAAGAAATTTAAGTGTGAATAGATAACCGTTATACGAATTCTATGAAGCTAGGGTAAAAATTGGAAAGATATACATGGATATCCTAGGAAAGGTACATGGATAATAAGACCATGTATTCCAAAAGGGCAAGTGCCCTCCGTTTCATTGACGACACGCACACTCAAGCAATGCCATAGTGAAAACTAAAAAGGTAACAATGACAACGACGCCACAAGGCATATCTTTGGCACAATAAAACTACCGACATTCTAAATAAAACTACCGACATTCTAAATAAAACTACCGACATTCTAAATAAAACTACCGACATTCTAAATAAAACTACCGACATTCTAAATAAAACTACCGACATTCTAAATAAAACTACCGACCAATATAAAACTACCGACATTCTAAATAAAACTACCGACATTCTAAATAAAACTACCGACATTCTAAATAAAACTACCGACATTCTAAATAAAACTACCGACATTCTAAATAAAACTACCGACATTCTAAATAAAACTACCGACATTCTAAATAAAACTACCGACATTCTAAATAAAACTACCGACATTCTAAATAAAACTACCGACATTCTAAATAAAACTACCGACATTCTAAATAAAACTACCGACCAATATAAAACTACCGACATTCTAAATAAAACTTCCGACATTCTAAATAAAACTACCGACATTCTAAATAAAACTACCGACATTCTAAATAAAACTACCGACCAATATAAAACTACCGACATTCTAAATAAAACTTCCGACATTCTAAATAAAACTACCGCCATTCTAAATAAAACTTCCGACATTCTAATTAAACTGCCGACATTCTAAATAAAACTATCGCACATGGAAATAGCGTATTTTCCGGTTAGACAATATTGGCCACTACAAAACTTACCCAGAGTCCAAGAATTCCGAAAGTATCAGTTTACGAATTTTAATTTTAATTAAGCTGCACGATATGCGTCATGATGTAGAACCTATCGATCTCTGTAGGCAGGTGACGGAGAAGAGTATGTAGTGTTTTGGGGGATGGGGTATAAACGAAAAATTTCAAGTGTTAAACAAAAATAATAATATCCATGTGCCGAATGTCATACGTGTCATTGCATTAAACAACCCAAACCGTATTTATTCTCATTGGAATACTTATATAGAGCTTTACTGAAACTCAACACGAAGTATCGATTACTTTGCAGAGTTGATATGTCGAGTCTATCAACACAGCGTCCGATTAAAGACAACACATGTATGTCATGTATCCCATCAAATACCACATGCATACCGGCATAGTGACCAGTTTTAGATAATATGTTGACTAATATTCCTTGCAAATCAGTTTACAATGATGACCACCAGCAAAGACTGAAGCCTTTTGAGTACTCTCTTGAAACCTCTCTGGAGGCATCAATCATTCATCCGAGTTAAATGGCATAACTGTGGAAACAATAACAGGACATATCATAGTTGTTATGAAGTTATCAACACCCTAGCCCGCACGACAGGGTTGGTGTCTTACCTGTCCCCATGTTGTTTTACTTTATTGCTTGTGTTTACATGCCTCACAGGTGGATTGACGATTGGCACGACTGTATCTGCCGAGCTGACAATCGACCCCGCTGTAAGTGCCGAACTCTTGCGATGTTGGACATGTAACCAGACCGATCACTGCCGTGACATGTACGACCTAACGGGAGTGACCACCACGATCTGTCGACTGGACCAGGCGTTCTGTGCAGTGAGTATCAAATACTGTTTTGAGAGTGGAGTTCCTGGTACGTGACATTATATCCGCGGTGGCGATATTGTTGGTTTCGATAAATGTTCTACAGTTAAAGTATAAGTCCGAGTAATATTGTGAGGTGCTGGTTTCCCAAGAAGGTCTATGTCCGTGAAGAAGCGAAGTTACCCCTTTACATTACTCGATGACTTTTACCTACATTATAATAAAAATGTTTACCTCACAACAAACATGTGTGACAAACGTAGCAAATCCACTGTTAGTAATCTTTCCTTGTCTCAGTGTGGTTCCTTTTACAGTACCGAAAGTTACCATAAATATCTGGACGTTCTAGATTTATGCGTTCTGTTCATAATCACAATATTCGTCCAACGTGTTCTACCTAAAAGGCTTTTGTACTATATGTTGTAAAACTATCAATCTTGATCATGACCTTTATTCCATCTTCCAGTATCGTTCATTATGTCGTAGAAGTTTGGCGACCTACATACTTTCTTGAATTTAACAGCACTTTGCATAAGTATCACCTTTACAGCTCCTGTTGTTGTCTTCTGTATTGACTTCGGATGTTGTTGATGTAGTACTTTGTTGATTCTATTTCAACTTCCAACAAAGCAAGTGTACTGCCGGTCATGATTGCAAACATAGTTGCAGTTTCTTGTCTTACATCGCTTGCGGCTGACATATACCATACTGGATTTGACAAAGAACAAACTCGCGAGAATCACATGTTGCGTAGGGAGCACTTCCGATCTAAAATCAACTGATGCGGCCCCCGTTACTTATAATTGAGTTCCAGTTTAGATTTCATGCTTCGGTGTCGAAGCTGTGATTTTTTTTATCTTACTTTAATGATATTTTTCCCTCTCTACAATACTTGAATTTCAGGTTAAGCTGTTTTTTCTCTTTCGAAATAATCTAGACTGTTTAGTAAATGTATGTATTTAGAGTAGATAGAATCATTATGACTGCCTTTTAGACATTTGATGCTCAGCATCTGCAATAACGTCACACTCACGTTAACTTCCTTGAGATTGTGTATTTTTCCAATATGGATAAATAATCTACTCAGACTTAAAGGATTTTGGCCACGATTTTTCATAATTTCATATTTTACGGTCCTGCGATGCAATAATACGTGTAGTCACCGAGACCCCTTCTATCTCGGTACTCATGTGATGGACAGACCAGGTGATGCTACATCTTTTGAACTTGGTACAAGATCATGTGATGTGTGACGTCATAGTGACCTAATTTATCCGATACTCTTTTCATTACATGTAACCATTCTGACACGCTCTTATTATTATCTGCATAATATTGTCATCTACCAATATATGTTGTATGGTAGTTAATCGCCTTAATTACGGAAATCTAATTATGTGCCTGCATCAACTACATTCAATGTAACTTAAAGTTGAAAGACAGTAATACACAGTTTACACACCCGAATATCCTACCTATGAATTAAAAGAAATGATAATTACTTGTAGGTCTTACTGTATCATATAATACCATAGCCAAAGGGCATTTACGATACTTACCTGAGAATTAACAGGTGAACTAATAGAGACCAAAGTTATTACCCAGAAAGTGTTACCTGTTAATGCCATGGCCAAAGGGCATTTATAACCGATCCGCCAACTTACACAGGTAGTGTGGTGTACCAGCGCGTTTCTTTTTGTCCCCAATTGTTGATAAAAATGTTGCTGAAAGGATTATAATCAATTTTAACAGAGTTTAAGTTATTAAACATGTGTTTTAACCTTAGGCTAGAAACCTGGACCTAAAACAGACGATGTTAGTAGGGTAAAATCGTTTGTGTATAACATACGATATTATTTTTATTTTAAAGAAAATTCTTAATCGTTAAGTTTTAATATTTGACTAGTAAAAGTGGTGTTTATATTACATTTACTGAAGAGTGTAAAATATTGACATGAACATTTATTTAGCATTTTTTTAATAAAAAACACATTCAGGGGCGATCAAAGTTTTCTTGGTGAGTTGTAGCGCACTATTTTCAGAATAAATCTTCAATTTTCATAACATATTTGTCAACTGAAACCGCGAATAAATCTATACTAACCCAGTTCCTGTTAATAAACATTGCGTTTTTAAACAAACAAAAAAACAAATGTTGTGAAGCCTAGTTGAAATGAAATTCCACTTGGAGTTAGAATTTCACGTATACAAATTTGAAGCTAGCGATGAGTGGATTATATATTTGCTAATTATACATAAATTGGTTTGCATGTTAGTGATTTTAAGTGAAATAAAAAACATGAAAAGGTGAAGGTCCATTTTCATGTTCGTATCCCTGTTTTAGCTGTTATCTAAAGCATTATTTCAATGAAACAAATATTTCAAACTGTCATGTTATTCACATTTGTTCGTGTCAGTGACAGTTAAATTGACACTAGGCATAAATAAGTGGTTCACGTACACTTGTTGGTACATGACAAAACCAAATGGAATGAAAGTTTATGCGTTCCATGTCTACGTGCTCTAATAGTACATGTACATCAAACTTAGGTGCAAATTTGTTTGATAAAACTTTACCTTTAGACGATGACGTGTGGATATGTGACGTTGCACGAGGTATCAAGTAGAAGGAATACAGGCGATTTGTCAGCAGATTTCAGAACATTACAGTAGATTGCGTTGCAAATATATGACTCTTAAAATAGCAACATCGTTGAACTGGCTCCTACTTAATACCTGTTTAATTGTTATAAATCAAGTAATATATGGAGGTTTCATTCTGTGGCGTTTTGACGTTCATAACTCCTCAGTAATAATAGTTGTCCTTTTTTATCAGGTATGATTTCTGAGTTTGTTATGAATCCTTTGGAACGTTTGGATTTTACATGGATATCAAATCAACTGATTTTCAATAATATATTTTAATAAAATTATAATAGAAAAAATACATAAACTATTGAATCTTGGTTTGAAAATGTAATTCCTTTGCTGTTTTAGGTAATAAAGAACGAAACAGTAACCGGTGACGTCACATATGGTCGTAGATGTCAGGAAGACTGCCGTCCGGACTGTCGCCGTATCAAGGACAGCTATGAGAGGATACAGTGTTTCTCGTGTTGCTCAAACTCTTTGTGTAATTCTGAGAGAGGGTCGGCATCCTCCACAGAAAGTTCAACCACTGTACAGCTGCTGATAAGTGTATTTCTTATATTTCATTTTATATAAGTGTACTTAGACTCAATCGAGTTATATCTCGAAGTGGATTCCGAGTTTAGAGGAAGAGAAATCAGTGTATCGATGTTTACTTATTATAATTATCATGTGTTAACAACAATGGCAGAAAAAAACCCACAAATAGTACTTACTGAATATTTCATATTCACAACGAAACTTTACATACAAAAATAAAAGATATGTCAGAATTAGACATGGTCATTAGTATATACATGTATGTTATGGTTTTTAGGTTGTATATGTGAGGTATGTGAAGGATAACAATTGCACGGGCACAATGTCATTAACTCGACACAGCATGATTCATTCGACAAAAAAGCTTTTCAATTCAGTGTACATCTAACTTGACGTTCAAAGCAATGTATTTGGAGTTTTCCTTTCATTTTGATCGAAGGTTATAATTGTCATGAAATTTAAAACGTCTGATGCCCTGTCATTCTTCTAATATTAGATTATATGTTAATTCACAACAGTAGTATATTATCATTTTTTGTTATAATAATGATAGTTTAATATGCCTTGTTAAAAACTTAAAAATGGTATTCTGTCTCATTTAGATATGATGAAAGCATTATCTGTAATTCGTAATCCATTATCTTTTCTTTTTACTTCATTCGTTTTATTGTTTTTTGCTTTTTTTGTTTAGTTGTTTACAAACAGGGTTACATAAACTGTTTACAGGGTAATACATAAAGAGTGATATATACTGTTTACAAGGTAATACATACAGTGTAATACAACCTGTATACAGAGTAATATATACAAAATATAAGGTGAATTATTGAGTGAAATGCATATTATTAACATGGTAATACATACAGTGTAATAATTCTGCTACAAGATAAAATAAAATGTAATAAACACTACATACGGGAATATTTATATTTAATAAAAAATTATACTGTTTACATGTTAATCCATATTGTATACAGGTTTATAATACTCTTTACAGTGTAATACATAACAGTGTAACACATATCGTACACATTTTAATACCATGTAATACATAATATATACAGTGTAATACATACAGCATACAGGTTAATAATACAGTGGCATACGTACTTACTGTATACAAAGTAATACAAACAGTGAAATACATACGGTTTACAGGTTAATACACAGTAACTAGTTATACAAATCAATCAAATTTATTTATAAGTACATACCAAACAGAAAAATGTCTAAAGATACAGAACACTGACTAGGAAAACATCTATTTATTTATTAAAAACAAACCAGAAAGAGTGACTAAGCATAAACATTTTTTTATATCGTCGTATATTTGAATCAATCACAAAAAAAGTCTTCCTTACTTTTTTGACATCGCACAAAAAACAATGAAATATATTTAACACACGTTATAACAATCCTTAAAATAATGGAAACATTTTTAATAACACGAATAATGGTCTTGCCTATAAGAATGACGGAGTTATTTCCCTTGGTCAGTCTATAAGTCCGACACAATCTCTTAGCATGTTTTAAAAAGAGATGATCAGATATGCTTCTGATAATCCTTATTATTTACATTAGTGGCAATCCGTTTAGAATTTCCGGATTTCGCTTCCCCGATTTATCATAATGAATGCATATCGACAATTCCTAAAGGGAACGTAATAAAAATGAAGATTATCAGTCACTCAGGATTCAAATGACATACGGGAAAAGGACCACACAATCCCTGAAAAAGGGCTAAGCCCGAAAGCTTAGATCTAGAGTGACTGTTGATATTTATATTATACTTGTTAAAAAAATATTGTGAAAAACATGCGTCACGTTGTTGTATATAAGGGGTCTCCCCTAAGACAAAAGTTGATTGAAAAATGAGGATTTAGAAATTATACAAAAAAATAGTCACTTCCAAAAAAAACGATAATCACAGAACTCATAGCAGAGCAAACCGTCCATTTGGAAATCATGACAGTGTGACAGAAGGACTCCAGTCGGTTTCAAAGGGAACACATTCACGTGTAAAATGTTTTGCTGTTAAAAGATTATAGGAACATCTTATTTTGCAGATTTAAGTGGGTGTTGTTTAGTAGAAATGAAAATATTGAAGCATATTTTCTTCAAAATGTATATTGTACTGTCGAGTAACAACTTTCATTTCATTTTGCTGATTATTGAAGTATTGCCATTGTGTATCTGATATTTGCACTTATTGCATTTGACTCGACACAAAACAATCAGGAATATCGTTGTAAATAAGTAGTAAAAAACAACACCAGTCACATAGTTTCCTGTGTAGAAATACAAATAACACAAACCATGGCGAGAGTACACAACTTATTTTAGCAGATCAATCTAATATTTTACAACAGGATATATTCTATTACGCAAGGCGCTATGTTCAAACCAGAACAGTATTATCAGCTTTCTGTTAATAATACTACACGAAACGTGTCAAAAATATAACATAAAAGACGATAGGTAAAGTAAGCTAACTCCGATCCTATTCTTACACCAAGCAAATAAGCTGGGCAGATACAAATTGTTTTAATATATCATTTACATTCACTTATTCGAAGGCCAATGCAAAACATATTTAACATTGCTATCATGGAAAGAAAAAGTTATCGTTAGTCTAGAGATAAGTCCAGCAAGCGACAATGGACATCATAGCATTAATAGATATCCCTACCCTTCCAACATAGTCGAGCATAGCAGATTGAGTGACATCCCTGACCATTAATCCTATATTGATGAATTGTTTCGAATGGTGTACAGCATTCTAAGATAATATGGATGACTTTATAAAATCCAGTAGAGAGTATTTCATTAATAAACCTTTCCATGGGTCGACCTACTACCATTATTCTCCAAAACGGATATTTACAACCTTGGACAACAGTACATATGTGTTTTGGTATATATCTCTTTTTTGCATTAAATCTTCGTTTTGGTTAACATATATTTCCTAGTGAGTAAAACATATTTACCTCATTTAGCTGCGAATAGATTGTGCAATATTTCCTATTTACAAACAATATGTGTATATCTTACGTCTTCCGTTGTTTTGTATAATACTCAAATTATATTCACGAATGTGAAGCGGTCATCATATTAACTAACTTTTCTTCTCTTTTTAATGTCTATCCTATTGATTTCAAATTATCTAGTGAACGCAAAACATCAGTTTATTTTTTTCTTATTTTTGTATGATTTCAAAAGCCAAAAGGTATATGTGTTTGTTCGAATGTGAAATTAAACATTGTTATCAAAGTATACTTTTTTCTTCTAACATTGAGTTCAATGTGTCATTTTTAAATATTTAACTCCCATTAGGTTTCATTTTCTCAGACTGATTTGGATTTCCATCATTTTTGGCCCTAGCAGCACCGTTTAGTCCTTGATGGATAAAATAGCGGTATATGGTGTCATGTAGCTCGTTTTTGGCATACTGTATAAATTAGGTGCACTACATGTGAATGTCGTACGTTCATAGTTCAAGGTACATGGTACGTGTTAGACTATCCTGGTGAATTTCTAAGTTCACGGGATTTGCCGTAAACTTCATTGCAACAACTACATTTTTTGAGTAGTGACAGGGTTAATAATAAACGTAATTTTCCCACTATCAATTTAAAATTAACCAGTATTTCTCTAATATTTCAAATTCATTTAATAAAGGGGTTTTCTGCATCTTCCCTTCTGTTTAAGCAGTAGTTCAGACCAATTTGTATTTATTATGTTTTGCCCTTAGTATCGTCGATAAGTACTAGAGGATCGAACCAACTGTAAGTGGTGTTGTGTCATTCACTTTTGGTATAATGTTTCAATTACCAACTGTCACACGTACAAAATGGCGTTCATCTTCCAATTAATTTACTTTTACAATAACTATATCATCTCGGGCGGTAGCATGCTAATCCAACTCCTCCAACTTCCAGTGTAAACAACCATCATTAATTATTTTATATGTTAAGTCTCAATTTCAAAACTGGTGTACAGTGCAGTTTTTTCTGTAGGAACAGATCTTAACTCTAATATCTCCATATAAGGCTTAACATTAATCAGTAAAGAAACCTTGATCAGATATTTTTTATAGCAACATCATGTAAGCTGGTCAGATAACTTTTACAGCAACAACACGTAAGCTTTATAATAATCAGTAAAGAAAACTTGGTCAGATAACTTTTACAGCAACAACATGTAAGCTTAACATTAATCAGTAAAGAAATCTTGGTCAGATACCTTTGACAGCGACAACATATAAGCTAAACATTAATCAGTAAAGAAAACTTGGTCAGATATCTTTTACAGCAACAACACGTAAGCTTAACAATAATCAGTAAAGAAAATTTTGTCAGATAACTTTTACAGCAACAACACGTAAGCTTAATATTAATCAGTAAAGAAAACTTGATCAGATAACTTTTACAGCAAATCAGTAAAGAAACCTTGATCAGATATTTTTTATACTTAGTCAGATAACTTTTACAGCGACATCATGTAAGCTGGTCTGATAACTTTTACAGCAACAACATGTAAGCTTAACATTAATCAGTAAAGAAAACTTGGTCAGATAACTTTTACAGCAACAACACGTAAGCTTTATATTAATCAGTAAAGAAAACTTGGTCAGATAACTTTTACAGCAACAACATGTAAGCTTAACATTAATCAGTAAAGAAAACTTCGTCGGATAACTTTTACATCAACAACATGTAAGCTTAACATTAATCAGTAAAGAAAACTTGGTCAGATAACTTGTGCAGTAACAACACGTAAGCTTTATATTAATCAGTAAAGAAAACTTGGTCAGATAACTTTTACAGCAACAACATGTAAGCTTTATATTAATCAGTAAAGAAAACTTGGTCAGATAATTTTTACAGCAACAACATGTAAGCTTAACATTAATCAGTAAAGAAAACTTGGTCGGATAACTTTTACATCAACAACATGTAAGCTTAACATTAATCAGTAAAGAAAACTTGGTCAGATAACTTTTACAGCAACACGACGTAAGCTTAACATTAATCAGTAAAGAAAACTTGGTCGGATAACTTTTACATCAACAACATGTAAGCTTAACATTAATCAGTAAAGAAAACTTGGTCAGATAACTTTTACAGCAACACGACGTAAGCTTAACATTAATCAGTAAAGAAAACTTGGTCAGATAACTTTTACAGCAACAACATGTAAGCTTAACATTAATCAGTAAAGAAAACTTGGTCGGATAACTTTTACATCAACAACATGTAAGCTTAACATTAATCAGTAAAGAAAACTTGGTCAGATAACTTTTACAGCAACACGACGTAAGCTTAACATTAATCAGTAAAGAAAACTTGGTCAGATAACTTTTACATCAACAACATGTAAGCTTAACATTAATCAGTAAAGAAAATTTGGTCAGATAACTTTTACAGCAACATCATGTAAGCTTTATATTAATCAGTAAAGAAAACTTGGTCAGATAACTTTTACAGCGACATCATGTAAGCTGGTCTGATAACTTTTACAGCAACAACATGTAAGCTTTATATTAATCAGTAAAGAAAACTTGGTCAGATAACGTTTACAGCAACAACACGTAAGCTTGATATTAATCAGTAAAGAAAACTTGGTCAGATATTTTTTACAGCAACATCATGTAAGCTTAACATTAATCAGTAAAGAAAACTTGGTCAGATAATTTTTACAGCAACATCATGTAAGCTGGTCAGATAACGTTTACAGCAACAACATGTAGCATTTATATTAATCAGTAAAGAAAACTTGGTCAGATAACGTTTACAGCAACAACACGTAAGCTTGACATTAATCAGTAAAGAAAACTTGGTCAGATAACTTTTACAGCAACAACATGTAAGCTTTATATTAATCAGTAAAGAAAACCTTATCATATCACATATTTTCTATGCTAAATTTAAAATATTCGGGTTTTCAATGGTTGGAATGAATACTCATAGAGTATAGTTCATTTGATAATTATGTTAGACCAGACAAGAAGACAATTGTTCTGTAATCGAATGGCATTGTATTGTTCCTGTTCAGGAGGAACCAGTGCGTACATGTATCATATCTATACCTCGAAGAAGTTCATCTCAATATGTTGGTTAATTTACGATAGAACTTGAAACACCATAAACCAGTAGAAGACAGGATGGTAAACTCTTGTCAATGTATACATCATATTTAAATATGTGCCAAATTGTTTCTTTAATGCACAAGGTATAAAGCCTTTCTTTAACAGAATTATTACTTTAAACTCTTAGGAGCAGCGGAAACCCTAATATTCCACAATCGAAATCTATAATAACAAGAACAGATTATTTTTATCTGTCATCAATAAATGAGAATCATTAAATTCATTCATACTGTGTTCTTATTCTTAATTTCAGAATAAAATCAAACACCAATATTAAATCAATTATTCTTTAAACGTTTTACCAGGTATGTTCCAGAGATATTACTATTCTATATTAGCTAACATATACAGCAAATGATTATTGACTCGACAAGCGTTTGTTATTTACGTATGGGCAATATGCACTTGTCTATGTTAATGCTCATTTTATTCAATTATCAGACATACCCCTTTAGTGACCATGTTGTTTATCATATGGTACGCTTAATATATATCAGAGCTAAGACTCCGATAAAAACATCTCAAATATTATATATGTTATATATCCCCCTGCATTAATGCCATTTTGGTCTCTGTGGAGTACAACCTATCGAGATAGAGATATGTATACTTCATCATCCTTTATTTTAACTATTTTGTATTCTTTAACATTCCTTTTCACATTCTCGCAATACACACACATACATTCTTTATTTAATTTCGTCGTGGAGTTTTACAGTTCATTCGAGCATAACATCTCATACATGACATCAACATGGTTTGTGGGACACTGCGCATGCTAAAATTGGTAGCATTGTATACATATTTACTAAATCTATTTAAGCGGTAAAAGCTATAATTCTGCCTGCCTTTTTCATTTATTCCTTTTCTTATAAATCTCTCCCTAACTTCTTGATAAATAGGACATACTAAAATGAGAATAATTCTTGTCAGCAATATCGTGTTACACTGAATTTCATGCCATTCCTTATTTTCATATCGACCTGTCTCGATCTAAAGGTTTAAGTATGCAGAATAGATTGCACAACACCCAGTACACATCACGTGTGAGTCATCTGCGTCACAACTTTGAACACAAATAGTTTAACACTCCTTGTGGCTATTTATAAACTGGAATTTATCTACACTAAGAATAGATCCGTGCAATACAGTTCATACAATTAAAATGGCTAGATTCGTGGTCATTCCCGTCGCTCTTCTCTGCTGTTATAATTTCCTGTCTTCTTCCGCTTTGGAATTACCCCCTGATGGTTTTTGGTTCAACTGTGGACTTGACTTTTGCGAGTTTCCAGCTGAATACTGTCGGGTGATAAAGGGTCAGCGTCCCTCGTGTCAGGCCTGTACTCAAGACGAGTGTTACTCGTTAGACACTCCGTCCCAGTGCTACAGTCAGTGTAAAGGTAAGTTTACATTACCTAACAAATGTCTTCATCCGAAAAGAAACTAGTTTTTTAATGGTAAGGAATTTATTATTTTTAATTTTGATCTGTTCAAACATTCAATTCATAAGAAAACAAATCACAACTGTTTAAATATTCATAAACGCGTGTATTTCAAATAATGTCTATCTAATCTCTCATTTTAAGGAAAAGTTCTTTTCAGGACAATATATATCACACAAGAGTGTATCATGTATCTATTCAAAAGTTATGTTGTAACATCATTGTTATCTCTTTACTCTATATATTCATATGTCTACTTTTACAATAACTTATTATCAATACATTGTTTATACACGAGATATAAAGCAATACACCTGTCAGATACACGCATTACTACATGTAGTGAAAATATGTATAATGAAAAGTAGAAACCGTTTTACTACAGTTAAAACAGATGTTTTCTTTTTTAATTATGTGTTGTTAAGCCTGTGAGCTTTCTAAATTATTAAAATTTGTATTATTCTACATATATATTTGTTGTATGTTGTCCTGGTCAGGACTTACACGATATTCTGTAAGGAATGTAAATGTGATCACACGTGTACAATATAGTGGCGTTATTTGGTATCGATCGGGTCACGTTTAATGTATGATGCAATCTGACCACGTATATATGGTGTAATGGAGATAGTATTACATGAGTATATTGAGTCAGATCCAACTTTATATTCTGAAAATTTACGTCGCTAATTTTAGCGAAACTGCAATGCGGCACGAATGAATCTTTATTTTTAGACCTGTCGCAATGATTGTAACAGGGCGCTTTTATATTTGTTATACATACTGTTTTATACGCTATAATGCATTACACAAACTGTCCTGCAACCACATGTTACAATTATATACATTGTAATATGTATAAAGTGACATTTTACCCTACGTGACCCATGTGTCAGATAATATATTAATCACACATTGATGTGCTGCCCTTTGTTGCCAAGTGTTCCAATACGGTATATTGTAATCACACATTGATGTGCTGCCCTTTGTTGCCAGGTGTTCCAATACGGTATATTGTAATCACACATTGATGTGTTGCCCTATGTTGCCAGGTGTTCCAATACGGTATATTGTAATCACACATTGACTGTTGCCAGGTGTTCCAGTATGGTATATTGTAATCACACATTGACGCGTTTCCCTATGTTGCCAGGTGTTCCAGTATGGTATTTTGTAATCACACATTGACGTGTTGCCCTATGTTGCCAGGTGTTCCAACACGGTATATTGTGATCACAAATTGACACGTTTCCCTATGTTGCCAGGTGTTCCAACACGGTATATTGTAATCACATATTGACATGTTGCCAGGTGTACCAATACGGTATATTGTAATCACACATTTACGTGATGCCATATGTTGCCAGATGTTCCAATACGGTATATTGTAATCACACATTGACGTGTTGCTCTTTGTTGCCAGGTGTTCCAATACGGTATATTGTAATCACACATTGACTGTTGCCAGGTGTTCCAGTATGGTATATTGTAATCACACATTGACGTGTTGCTCTTTGTTGTCAGGTGTTCCAATACGGTATATTGTAATCACACATTGACGTGTTGCTCTTTGTTGTCAGGTGTTCCAATACGGTATATTGTAATCACACATTGATGTGTTGCCCTATGTTGCCAGGTGTTCCAGTATGGTATTTTGTAATCACACATTGACGTGTTGCCCTATGTTGCCAGGTGTTCCAACACGGTATATAGTAATCGCACATTGACGTGTTGCCCTATGTTGCCAGGTGTTCCAACACGGTATATTGTAATCACATATTGACATGTTGCCAGGTGTACCAATACGGTATATTGTAATCACACATTTACGTGATGCCATTTGTTGCCAGATGTTCCAATATGGTATATTGTAATCACACATTGACGTGTTGCCCTATGTTGCTAGGTGTTCCAACACGATATATTGTAATCACACATTGACATGTTGCCAGGTGTTCCAGTATGGTATTTTGTAATCACACATTGACGTGTTGCCCTATGTTGACAGGTGTTCCAACACGGTATATTGTGATCACAAATTGACGCGTTTCCCTATGTTGCCAGGTGTTCCAACACGGTATATTGTAATCACATATTGACATGTTGCCAGGTGTTCCAGAATGGTATTTTGTAATCACACATTGACGTGTTGCCCTATGTTGCCAGGTGTTCCACCAATACGGTATATTATAATCACACATTGACGTGTTGCCAGGTGTTCCAGTATGGTATATTGTAATCACACATTGACGTGTTGCCCTACGTTGCCAGGTGTGCCATTATGGTATATTGTTACATGTATCACACATTGACATGTTGCCAGGTTTTCCAGTATGGTATATTGTAATCACACATTGACGTGTTGCCCAACGTTGGCAGGTGTTCAAGTACAGTATATTGTAATAACAAATTGACGTGTTGCCCTATGTTGCCAGATGTTCCAATACGGTATATTGTAATCACACATTGACGTGTTGCCCTTTGTTGCCAGGTGTTCCAATACGGTATACTGTAAACATATATTGACGTGTTGCCCTTTGTTGCCAGGTGTTCCAATACGGTATATTGTAATCACACATTGACGTGTTTCCCTATGTTGCCAGGTGTTCCATTACGGTATATTGTAATCACACATTGACGTGTTGCCCTATGTTGCCAGGTGTTCCAATACGGTATACTGTAATCATATATTGACGTGTTGCCCTTTGTTGTCAGGTGTTCCAGTATGGTATATTGTAATCACACATTTACATGTTGCCATTTTTTCCAGTATGGTATATTGTAATCACACATTGACGTGTTGCCCTACGTTGCCAGGTGTTCCAGTATGGTATATTGTTATCACACATTGACATGTTGCCAGGTGTTCCAGTATGGTATATTGTAATCACACATTGACGTGTTACCCTACGTTGCTTGGTGTTCAAGTACAGTATATTGTAATAACACATTGAGGTGTTGTCCTATGTTGTCAGGTGTACAAATACGGTATATTGTAATCACACATTTACGTGATGCCATATGTTGCCAGATGTTCCAATACGGTATATTGTAATCACACATTGACGTGTTCCAATATGTTGCCAGGTGTTCAAATACGGTATATTGTAATCACACATTGACTTGTTGCCCTATGTTGCCAGGTGTTCCAATACGGTATATGCTAATGTTAAGTAAATGACGTATTTTATTGTCTTGTGTCCAGTAGTTCAGTATGTATTATACAGTATGCAGTAATAATCAGACAATAACTTGTTACCCTGTGTTGCCCAGTTGTCAGATATGGTACACATTAATGTGATATAGACACAATGAAAAACTACTCCATGTTTTCCCGGAGATCCAAATGGTAAACTGTAATGATCCGATAGACATGTTGCCCTATGCTGCCCAGTGGTCTAATACGGTACATTTTGTATATTGTAAGGTTCTCTAAATGGTATGTTACTTTGTGTAACCCAGTTGTTAGGTACGGTACAGTATATTGTAAAGGTCTCATTATGACGTGTGACCCTGTGTTAGTCCAAGACGATATATTATTTTGTAATAGCTACACAATGATATCTTATCATATGTTATACATTGTACATTTTGACACTTGCGTGAGTACAATAAAAGTTTGGCCTTCACCTTTGTCGTTACAGCACTTGAGAATGGAGGATCTGATGGTATCGGTGCTAACCAGGCAGCGAAAGGTAGGTTATAACAATAATATAAAGTACCGCGTTGTGATACATCATGTTGAATGAAACTGACTCACGATCATATATTGAATGAAAATTGAAACAATTATATTAAATTTGTTGAAAACTTCCAGAGGGACTGCTTGCTGTCCAAGAAGAAGAGAAAGACAGACTTATATTGTCACTAGGTATGTATCACAAAACGGCGAGAGAAGTTGATTTAGAACATGTTACATATCACCTTGTAATTTGAACCGCTTCCAAATCGTATCTATTTTTTTTATATATTATTCAGAGCTCCGTTGTCATTAATGTATTTACTACATTTCAGAGGAAAATAAAAGACAATGGACAATCATCTACATCCTAGTGTCTATAATGATGGCCATGCTAATATTCATCATTGTCCTACTAATAAAGATACGCAGAGATAACCGAAAACAAAGTATCAAAGACAGACAGGGGACAATGAGACAACTGAAAGCAGGACCGCAGCAAATGACACGTTTTGATGACGAGGAGACTGACGTTTCTAACGGAATAACTGTAGAGCCTGCAGGAGCAAGTGTTGTTCAGAAGACGATGGGAGAAACACATGTCGTTGATAACTGTCTGGCAGAAAAAGTCCCATTGTTGCCTCCACGTGGAAACAAGCAACCAGCACTAGCAGGTGAGGCCATTTTAAATGCTTACAATAATTGAACGGATATGCATATTGTGAATCAAGTTTAATTCTATATAAAAAAAAATATAATTTCGAAAAACAAAACAAAAAAAATATAAACAACGACATAACGCTTTATTTTCTGACACCATGCAATGAGCACATAATATAGAAACAGTATAAGATGTGTGACAGTTAGATCCCAATATCAGATGTGTAACTCGTTCTTTATGCATTTTACAATTATCTACGTTACTATCACTGTGTCATTACAGAAGGAGAACAATGCCAACCATCAGAGCGATCCGGTAATACAGAGTGTCAATTTTCATCCAAACTTATGGACGACGGTAGTAATGGTCTGGGTAGACACATGGAGGAATCAACCAATTGGCCCTCAAACCAGGCGGTAGTACCAGTCATCAGCCATCCTATAGACGAACACATGTCGACCAATCTTGCAGACTGCACCCTCCTTGACAAGCATAATATGAAACTGATATGTAAGCAGTCATCTTTAGTATCCGTTTTGTGCCAAAAAGCAATGGCAACCTTTTAATAAATTAGAATTATTAACTTGATTTTTATCTGCAATACAACTGTAAGTTTTAGGACAAGCTATTGCCTTTTAATGCTTTAACTTTCTTTATATTCTGCAAACATATATCATACGTCTGTATTTTCTGTTTCCTTTTAAAGTGAATGCTAACGTCCCCAGTAGCAGACGTCATTCTACCAATGACGAAGAAACGATGACAAAGAATGTCTTTGAGAAGGAGGATCAAGTATCCCTTCCGAGAGATATCGAGACTCAAGTACAACATAGACCGCGATCAACCACGGTATTAAATAACGTCACACCTACAGCCCCTCCAGCCGAGTCGTCTATCAGTCTGTCTTCTGAAAGAAGTGGCACCACAAGTGGAATCTCAACTCCAGACAGTGGTCACTACGGAACCGGCAACTCTAGCCCTAACGGAAGCGTTGATCTGAAGAACAATATCATGCAGCAACCAGCAGTTAATAGACAACAGGAAGTAGAATCATGAGCCGAGTTGTTATACTTTATAGATTGATTATTGTAGTAAATATGGCCAGTATCATTATAAAGACGTGAATTAAGCTAATGTCAACGATGGTGATGTGAAACTCTAGAACGAGGATAAAAATAAACCCACTTCTTGTCGGGAGAGTTACATATACAATTCGTATTTATTTAGTTTTAAAAACACTTTAATTTATTCCTCACAATCGATACACTGGAAGCCATCAGGGTGTTATTGAAAATTGTTTTAGGTCATGATATTGTTATGTATTACTCAGAATGATTTCAAACTATTCCAACCGCCTACCATTCTGGAAATTATTATAAGCATGCAGAAGGGTATAAGGACTTTCTGCTGTAAATTAAGAATCATTATTCCTGATTCATATGCATGTAAATATATATGATGGTAAAACGTGTTAACTGTATTGCAGTGTAAAACGTTTGGTTTTCCGTAGACGTTATTTATTTTCAGGTTTGCATTTTCTCTGTTTGCTTTTGAAGTTTTATTTTGAAATAAATTTAAGAATTCACAACACGATTTCGTGTTTTCTACTACATTTACACATTTTATCAAATGTCCAAGTTTTACCGGTTGTGGCGATATACTTTTAGATTAAATACGTTACACGGTATACTGAAGTAGAGGCACATGCATCAACCATATAGCTTACACACTGATCCTGACTATCACCAGTTGTTAAAGTTTCGAGAGAGCTTCGAAACATAAAAAGTTATAACAAAAACATCTTTAATAACAACAGCTACCAGAATCAGTTCCTATTTTTCATATGTAACATACACACATGTAGTAAATTCTTACGTTAATGTTTATGTTAAATCACATCCCTACCTGAAAGGAGCGAAATCAAATTATAATAAAAATACATCTTTAGATGGTAACCAAAGTTAACTTTAGCCCATAAATCTTCAAATACAGTTGTGCCATTTACGATCTTAGTGCAATTACTGTAACACTGAAAGTGAACACTGGAGTTTCTTAGCACGAAAAGATGGCGTAAGAGTTCATCCCAGATAAAGACTGATGAATAAATAGATCAAAGATGGGAAAATAAACATGTGTATTTGGATCCATAGTTCATATTTGACTAAACCATACAAACACATAGTTCAATATTGTGAAGACTGCTTGTCGTTTCATTTGTATTTAGACGTACAAAAATTTTAAAAAAAACACGAATAGTGTTGATTATTGCTAACGATTTTCAAGACTTCTGGTCATTTTAAGGCGAATGCTATTACAACAATGTAATGTTAAGGCTGCAGTATGGCGTTATACACTGAATAATGACTCTATCAAAGTCCCCCGCAATTTGTTTCATTTAAGTATGCGTGCATGTTAATCTCAAAATATTGATAAAGAACAGATCCATAGGCGGTGGTTGCATACGCTCTGTATTAATTTTATGAATAAATGTGACTATGGTTCCTCTTTTTTTAATTCAACACCCTACAGTTATTGGAAATCGAAGAAAATATACATGTAATAGATAGCAATAAATTGTAAAAAGTGGTCACAAGAATTTGTCCTTGCATGATAAACACGTAAATACAAATTAAGCTCTATCAAAAAAATGTGAAATATAACGGAAATAACATTCAAACTTAAGTGCAACATTAAATGTAAATAAAAACCATGAAAAAAGTGATCCAAACTTAACAGTTTCAAAATAACGGTGAGTCTGGATATATTGAAAAAAACCATAATGCTATTATTAACAAAAGATAACAGCAGCTAAAATAAGGTCAGGAGTAAAATGGTATGCAGCAGTGGTTAAATTATTACTTTATTGGTTTGAAAAAAAAAATTGACAAATAAAATATGGTGATATAAAAACTAAATGTATTGATACAATCACCTGGTGCAGATAGTATATATTCAGCGTTCTATAAAAATATTAGTACTTGAAAAAAAACGCACATACAGAGGTGATGCATTGTAGTATACATATGCGTCATTATTCTATAAAACAAGAACAACGTGAGAAAATTAAAAACTGGCGTTCATGTACCCTATTTAATACTGACTATAAGATCATTAATGTAAAAACAAGAAAACAAGATGAACTTAAAGCATTATTCATGCATGGTTTTAAACGTAATAAACATATTCTAAAGCTACACAAGTAATTCTTAAAAAACAAAATCCAGCTTGAAAGAATGATTGCGTGAAATTTTAGCTTTGTAAATGGCAGACAAAAAGACAACATTGTAGCCAAATAAGTATTCGATAAACACAGGATAACTGCATTTATAATCTATACGTGTGTATGGATTAATATTGTCAGACAAGTAAGATTGCCTCATCTGAGGACCTATATTTAGGGGGATTCAAAGACTCTTTACAAACGTTCTGATGACATAAATTACCGAAATATTTAATTATTCTACCTTAAATCTGGATGAATGCACGTTGCTGATAAATGTTCTGCAAATTACGATGATAGGTCATAAGTCAGTATATCTGATGGGAAAATGAAGATAAGAGGTTTAGTTTGGCGACCCCATAAATAAAATATAAATAGGAAAACGAGCTACTGTTTCCGTCACTATAACAACACACTAACAGTACGCTAGTATGAAGAAATATGTTTATTTACCGAACAAAACGTAATCGCACATTTTATAAATCTACAAGTAATTTTTAAATTTTATTTCAACAAGACACTTTATTGCATTCTTTGATATATAAAACACATGTTCGTAAACGATACGTTTGGAAACAAATGATGCAGAAATGATCTAATATATTTGTTCAAAACAAGATATGATAGTATTTACTTATAATGGGTACATTATATTCTGAATGAAGGACCGTTATCATCAGCACTCTATAAGTTAGTCACCTGGTAAGTGTGGACTTAATGATCGTATACTTCCAGCTATATACTGAAACAATGATAACTTTTCCTTTTTTCCTGACCACAAAGATATCATTAAAGAAGAATTTTGCTTATGTAAGATGTCATTTGATTTCGTAAATGTATATAATTGATGTACAGTTCCTTTAGAGTGAGACGCTTGTATCACTGCCGTAAATTAAGGTAAATATGGAGTCTAGTACTAATAGAATAACATTTATATTAACAACCACAACTACCGTTATGATCACGTGATATAGCGTGATATATTGAAAATTTCCTGTAAATGGGTATTTCCACTAGGTATGGAAAACGGAAATTCCCATTTATAAATAGACAATGGTATAAAAATAAGTTCGTTTGAACAGGTGAATTGGAACATTAGTCATTTTATACAAACGGTGTCAGTTGTGTTTCTCGATATGGATCCCGTCACCAGATGCCTTGTGTGTTTTGGTTTACTTCTACAAGGATTACTATTGGCGGAAACTACGTCCCCACCTGAAGGTTTTAAATTTAATTGTGGACACGACATCTGCGTCTTTCCTCGTGATTTTTGTAATATTGGTAAACAACGCTGTGACGTGTGTACCTTAGATGTTTGTAACGAGCTCAACGTATCCTCACAATGTGGACAACGATGCAAAGGTGAGTAACCTTATATAGAAATAAAGATATATAGTACAGTGACGACACACAGGAATACATTATCAGCGTCAACACGCAGGGACAAAATAATAGTTATCACGTATATATACAAAAATACAACATATAGCGCGCATTGTCAGCGCGTAAGGACAAAATATATCATAGTGTCTGCACATATGGACAATTTATTTTACAGTGTACAACAACGACAAAGATAAACCTTAGCGGCAACTAAGTATTATGTTGTTCTCTTCTAAAAATAGTCTTGTGTTTTTCCGTCTATATTAATATGTTTCATTAAAAGATAACGGAGTTACCTCTCTTGGTACCTTGTAACATGGGAATTTTTAATAGAAATTCGTTTAATTCATTTTCTTTGTAAATAATATCATTTTCGTCAGCAAGGTTTACGGTCTGCATTGAAATAAAATAGTCCAAAGGATACACTGGAATGGTGATGGTTGACGATTCAACAAACTGAATATGCATTAAATGGTGTACTGAATAAGGATTTTGTTCACTTTTCATTCGTGTTACAACATCATTTTTCCATTATTGTAGAGTTGAAAGGGGAAGAAGAAATTCCGAAGACTGAAGGTCCTTCTGAGGAATTGTTGAGCACATTGATAGGTAAATGTACATTGTTTGAATGTATCGTTTCGTAAAATTGACAATTATATTTGCTTCTAGACTGAGTACCATATAGCACTAAGTAATAAAAGACCTTGGATCGTTGTTGATAATTTGGTAAATGTCTTATTTCAGGCCAAGTGACCACTCTGACATACGTGGTGTGGATTCTCGTGGCCCTGTTGTCCCCTTGCATACTGTTCTGTATAGTCAAACACGTGATCGCCTGTAGGAATCGCTCACGTGACAAAAACACTGACGAAGGCAGTATATCACAGAGATATCAGCAGCTACCTGGTCGTGATGATGATACAGACGTCAATTCTGACCATGTGAACCCCACAGCTCCACCGCAACAGCTTGTTATGTCGGGGCCTATTGGTAAATTATTAAATACGACTTATTACTGCGGTTGGACTGCTTCCTATGCACCTACATTTAATATGATTCATAGAGATTACTGAGAGATAGATAAAGGTGATGCTCAACCATTATGATTTTGAGGAACCTTTTTTTACCATAACAGTCATATGACAATGATGTACGTCAGAAAACATTCTGACGAACCTTGCGAAATTGATAATGAAATGTTTTGTTAGTTAAAATTGCATCATGTAAATATAAGGGACAATTTTATTTATCATTGTGAACTAAATTATTATTTTTTATTTGATTTTGATAGAAATATATTTTAATCTTAAGGTTCGTCAGTCAGTGTATACCAGCCGTCACCGTCTGGACAAGGTGGGAACGACTCTTCACGGGGAAACCACAGGATTCTGCCGGAAACTATACCAGAATCCCCAGCGGATTCACGACCAAAGGTTGATCTTCGGCAGCAACATCCTGTGGATGAGCATCACGTTTCGGACATGGGAGACTTTCACCTACTGGACGGGGACAGCTTGACCACTCCAAAGGGTAGGGAAATAACAGAATAGTACCAATATTTCAAAGTTCGGCATGCAATAATATTTAGCGTGCTCCTAAAATATACCATATTGGTCGATTAATTAGCTCGATTTTGGTATCGAAGTTTGTGCACTGTTATGTCACCAGAAGTGATGAATATTTGCTGAAGAACATCTTCCAATTTAGGTTATGTGTGTAATATATACATTCACATTATACGTGATACATATGTAATATAAGGAGTTTTAATACTCAATATTTAACATGAAAACTTTAAGAATGCGTTTTATTTCCCAGGTGTTGATCCTGATGCTACGGTCGTGAAGACCAACAATCCTTGTGACTGGTCTGACGACATTGAGGTAGTGCCGGACGACATCGACGGTCAAGCGCCTCTGTCAAGTAGACCATGTGTTAATTCATGTCCTGGAATGGTTGGAGCTTACACGGATACACAT